CTCGCCCTGACTGACCTCGCAGGGATCGACGTTGTTGACTAGGATCTGCGAAACGCCGTCGCAGGTCACATCTGTCGCGACGAAGGCGGCGACGCGCGTATCGCCGGACCCAACCGGCGGGGTGCTGACAAGCAGCCGTTTCGAGATCACGCCACCGGTATCGAAGAAGTAGAGATCGAGGCGCAGCACCTCGAAGTCGAAGTCCGTATCGTTGCGCAGAAGCAAAAAGTAGTGACAGCCATTGTCCGTCTGTTCCGCCTTGTTGAGCTCGACCAGCATGCCGGACGCTCCGGAGGAACCGGTTGCAGCCGGCTGAACGTCCTGAGCGGCCGCCGACCAGACCGGCCAGGCGATCGCCGCACAAACTGTCAAGATCTTGAAACACTTCATGTTCTTGCGCTCCCCGGCCCTGATGCTCCGATCGACAAGTCCTACACGAGGCCGGGCGGCTTCACCAGAGGTAAGCCGTACAGGCGCTAGCCGCTTCCCGCACCGGACCCGATCGTCGGCAGGCTCTGGCGCCAGCCGCGCAGCCTGCTCCGGGTGCGATGGACGACTCTGCGACGCCAGCCGACCTCCTCGGGATCGGGCTCCAGCACGATGCCGACGCGCTTCGGCTCGGGACCGATCTTGTCGACAACGATGAACTCGACCTGCCCGAAACGCAGCCGGTCGCCGCGCCCCATCCCCTCGCCCAGGCGGTTGCGCAGCAGTTCGGCCAACGACAGATCGGGACTGGTCTGTCCCAACTGGACGCCGTAGGCCGCGCAGAGATCGCCCAGCCGGCTGCTTCCATCGACCAGGAAATCGCCCTGATCGACGGACAGCTGCCCGGCCGTCGAAGCGAACCGCCGGGAGAAGAAGCGGTCAAGAGTCGCGGCGTTTTCGGGCGGAGTGACCACCAAAACGAAGTCGCCCGCCGCAAGCTGCTTCACCTCCGGCAGTCTTTGGACAATGCCGTCGCGTATGACCACGATCAGGCGCGTCCGCTTTGGAAGGTCCAGGTCTGCGAGCGGGAAGTCGGCTGCCCGGCTGTGCGGCATGACCTCGTAGGCGATGAGGTCGCGGTCCATTCGGTCGGTCCGCCGCGCCAGATCCAGATCCATACGGGTGGCCGGTTCGGGCTCCGGCGGCAGCGCCACGTGCAGGCGACGCGCGACCCAGGGGATGGTCCAACCCTGCAGAAGCAGCGACACCAACACGACCACGAAGGCGATGTTGAAGGCCTGACCGCTTCGGTCGAACCCCTCCAGGAAAGGAAACAGCGCCAGAAAGATCGGGACGGCCCCGCGCAGCCCCACCCAGGCCGCAAAAGCTTGTTCGCGGAGCGGAAAGCGAAAAGGCGTCAGGCAGATCACCGTCGCCAGAGGACGCCCGATCAGCATCAGAGCGACTGCTAGGATCAGGGCCGTCCCGATGTCGGGCAGCAGTTCGCTCGGCGTGACCAATAGACCAAGCAGAAGAAACATAACGATCTGAGACAGCCAGGAGAGACCGTCGAAAAAACGCCCGACGAGCTGGTCGGCGCGCACACGACGGTTTCCGAACACGATCCCCGCGACGTAGATGGCCAGGAACCCACTGCCGCCCGCCAGTTGCGTGCCGCTGAAGATCAGCAGCGCACCGGCGAGCGCCAGGATCGGATAGAGACCACCCGACAGTTCCAGGCGGTTCATCAGCCAGACCAGGGCAAAACCGCCCGCCGCGCCCAGCGCTCCACCCAGGCCCATCTGCAGAGCGAAATCCCCGAGCACCCACCAGCCGAGTTCCAGTTCTCCAGCCGCGAGCATGCTCGTGAAGGTGATGGTCAGGAATACAGCCATCGGGTCGTTGCTGCCGGACTCCACCTCCAAGGTGGCGCGCAGCCGGTCGCGTAAGGCGATGCCGGAGCGACCCAGCAGCATGAAAACGGCGGCGGCATCGGTGGCTGAGACGATTGACCCGAGCAGCAGCGAGAAGACCCATCCGAACCCCAAGACGTAGTGCGCCACAGCTGCAACCAACCCAGCCGTAATCAACACTCCGACGGTCGATAGGGCGAGAGCCGGCCCGAGCCCGCGCTCGATCGTTGCGCGTGGGGTCCGCAGTCCGCCGTCGAACAGAATGACGGCCAGCGCGGTCGACCCCAAAATGAAGGCCAGCTGGGAATCCTGGAAGAGGATGCCGCCCGGTCCTTCGTGGCCGGCCAACATACCGAGGCCGAGAAAGACGAGCAGCAGAGGCGCGCCGACGCGCGACGAGAGCAAGCCGGCGAAGATGCTGGCCAGCAGCATCAGAGAGCCGATCAGTACCCAGGCAAGACCGTAGTCCACGGGCCCCTTTCGAATCGTTCCGGTTGGGTCAGGATCGATAGTGTAGCAGGCTGTAAGATCTCGCGCGGCAAAGCTTCGCTGCTCGAAACCGAGGTTCGGGTGGAATCATACAGGGAGCGACCCGACCCAGGACAATCCTGCTCTAGCGATTTCCTTGCGCAGAGAACTGCACTAGTCTCCCGGCCATGCGTATCACCCTCCTGATTCTGATGGCCGGCCTGCTGTTCGGTTGCAGCACGACCGACCAACCGCTTCCCACGCTCGCCGATGAAGAGCTGACCTCACCGGATGCCTTCGTGCGCAGCGTGCGTATCGGCAATACCACCTACCTCTATCGACGCCACGCCGACGACCCGAACCTCTTCGACATCCGCGTTTCGGGCAGCCGACGCACGAACGAACAGGGTTTGCTCGATGCCGTTGGCAGGGTCTACGGCTGCTCCTCCCTTCGCGTTGTCGGGATGAATCGGACACGCACGGCCGGCCGGGTAAAGGGCACCGCGTGCAGGCTCAACCAATATTATCGGTAGATATCGGCCGCCGGTTGTCGCCAGAGCGGAATCGGCGCAGCAGCGCAGCTCATCCGGTGAAGACGCGATACAGCGGCAGAACCGGCCAAGGCGTGGAGACTTGCCAAGGTCGAGATCGGCGCCATTATGCTCCGCAAGACGGTGGCGCCGATAGCCGCGCACCTCGTTCAAAGGCGTAACGCGTCACGTGACTGCTCCTCGAAAACCTGCCTCCACCTCATCTTCTGCGACGGACGAGCCTCTGTCGGACGGCTTGCACCGCCAGAGTCCGGCGGACACGACGACGCTGCGTCACGCTCTAGGTTGGTTCGCGACCGGCGTGACAATTGCAACGACGCTGGACGCCAAGGCACAGCCGGTCGGACTGACCTGCAACTCCTTCAACTCGGTTTCTCTGGAGCCGCCGCTGGTCCTCTGGAGCTTGGGTCGACGCTCCTTCAGCCGGCCGGCCTTCGAGCAAGCGACTCACTTTGCGATCAACGTTCTGCCTGCCGGCCAGACGGCGCTCGCAAAGCGTTTCGCCGAACCGCTGGAGGACAAGTGGGCAGGTGTGGCGTGGTCGCCGGGTACGGCTGGCATTCCGCGCTTGCCCCTGGCCCTGGCCGTGTTCGACTGCCGGGTGCGCGAGCGCTTTCAGGGCGGCGATCATTTGATCTTCCTTGGTGAAATCGTCGAGATGCAAAGCCGCGAAGCCGGCGACCCGCTGATTTTCCTGCGCGGACAGTTCGGCGGCTTCGCCGCATCCGAGGACTGAGTCGCAGATGCAGCTCTACCGCCATCACAGCAGCGTCCCGGCCGAAGGACGGGGCGCTGTCGTGGCGATCGGCAACTTCGATGGCGTCCATCGCGGTCATCAGGCCTTGCTCGAAATCGCCCGGACGAAGGCCAGAGATCTCGACGCCCCGCTTGGTGTCGTAACCTTCGAGCCTCACCCGCGCCTGTTCTTCCAACCCGATCAGGCCCCCTTTCGGCTGACCGCCTTCAGAACCAAGGCCCGTCTGCTTCAGACCCTCGGAGTCGAGCGCCTCTACTGCCTTCCCTTTACGAAAAGCCTGGCGAGCCTGGAAGCGGCGGACTTCGTTTCGGAGGTTCTCGCTCTGGGGCTTGGCTTGCGGCACGTGGTCGTGGGCGACAACTTTCGCTTCGGCCGGAAACGCGGCGGCGATACGGACTTGCTGAAACGCGCCGGAGATGTTGCCGGGTTCGGAACGACCGTCGTTGAGCGCGTCGGCGGCTCGATCGCCGATGCCTACTCTTCGACCCAGGTGCGCAGCTACCTGGCCGACGGCAATCCGACCCGCGCCGCCCTAATGCTGGGCCGCTACTGGGAGATCGAAGGGCGCGTCCGGCACGGTGCCAAACGCGGTCGCGCGCTAGGCTTTCCGACGGCAAACATTCCGCTGCGCAGCAACCTGCTGCAGCCGGCCTACGGGGTCTACGCCGTCCGCGCGACAGTGGAAGACGATGTCGAAACGGACGACGGTGTCGGGCTGCAAGACGGCTTGGAGACAAGCGACAGGCAGACGGACAGCAGCGGCCGTGTATGGCTCCCCGGAGTCGCCAATCTCGGGATCGCTCCGATGTATGGCTACGACGAACCTCTGCTCGAGACGTATCTTTTCGATTATTCAGGTAATCTTTACGGTCGGCATTTACGAATTGCTCTCGTCGACTATCTGCGTCCCGAGAAGCGCTTCGAAAACGTGGAAGCTCTGACGGTTCAGATGTCGACGGACTGCGAAAAGGCCAGACAAACACTGGTCTGGGAAAACTGGCGCGGGGATTGGCCTGCCGGACCGTTCCTGCGCCGGGGCGCACCGTTCGACGATGCGCTCACACCTACCTCCGGCAGTTAGAGTACCGAAGTACACGCCTCGATTTGACGCCGGTGACTTGTCAAGCGAAAAACACTTGTGCGACTCGCACAAAGATCCGCATTGTTTGAGACAGTTGCGTGCGTCGCTTCCATTGTACGCAAAGAACCTACGCGAAGGGGGACACCCAACATGGCCAATGCCGCGCGATCGAAGTCCACGGCTAAGGCTACGGCCAAGCCGGCTAGCGCTGCCAGGAAGACACCAGCGAGGAAGCCGGCTGTTGCCAAGACCGCTTCTTCGTCATCGAAACTGGGACGTTTCGACAAGCTCCTCGACAAAGTTCAGAAGCGCGTTGTGACCGTCTCCGGACAGGTTGAGAAGCAGCTGCACGCACTTGAGAAGAGCGTCAGCAAAGAGCTTTCCTCCGCCAAGGTCCGTGGGTACGTGAAGACCCTCGACGCGGAGCTCGACAAGCTCGAGAAGACGGCTGCGAAGAAGCTCGAGCAGATCGAAAAAAGCATCGACGGTGAACTGAAAAAGTTGACCGGCGCCTTCGAGAAGAAAGCCAAGCGCGAAACGGCCAAGGCGAAAAAGGACGTTGCCGCCGCCAAGAAGGCAGCAGCCAAGAAAACGGCAGCCAAGAAGCCAGCAGCGAAGAAGGCTGCTGCGACGAAGAAGGCGGCCGTGAAGAAGCCCGCTGCGAAGCGGCCCGCGGCTAAGAAGCCTGCCGCATCGGCAGCGGCACGACGCTCGCCGGCTTCCAAAGCCGCTGCCCCGAAGACCGCTGCGCGCAAGCCCGCGGCTAAAAAGCCCACGGCCGCTAAGACAACCGCAGCCAAGACAACCGCTCGTAAGACCACGACGGCCAAGAAACCCGCCAGTCGGACGACGGCGGCCGCCAAGCCTGCTACGGCGCGGAAGACCGCGGCCCGGAAGCCGGCAGCGCGTAAGACAGCCCCCCGCAAGACGGCGGCCAACGGTGCTGCAACGCCGAAAACCGGAACGACCCGGGCCCGCAAGGCTCCCGCAAAGACGACTGCCAAGCCGGCGGCGTCAAGCGTCACACCTGCGGCTCGACCCAACGGCAGCTCGACCTCTTAAATCTCGGTTCGCTGTCAGTAGAAGTACGGGAGGCCGTTCGTCAGAACGGCCTCCCCTTTTTTTGCCCCTCGGGATGCCATCGCCGCGTCTCGCGCCATGATCGCTTTTAGGTGTCGAGCGCAGTCGGATTACTCTCGCGAACCCGTGCTTTGACCACCTCCTCCAGCACGGCATAGACCTCGCTTGATCCGTCGAAGCGCCCCGACCGCACTGCGGTCGCTAGGTCGGCGTTTAGCTTTGCCACGCCACCCTCTCCGCCCAGCAATTTCGCAAGCGCCAGAGCTTCGGCTTCAGCCGGTTCGTCTCCTGCGGCGAGCTCGCGCTGAACGATGGCAACAGCCGATGCGACCAGCAACGCCTTGTACCGCTGTTCACCCGTCAGACTTGGAGCCAAGTCCTGGCTGAGAACGCGCCAGGCTTCCGCCAGAAGTTCAGCACCGTTCGGCCTGTCTCTCATCCCGCCCCGCTCCAGCTCTCCGGGGGTGTCAGTCGCAGGATTGCAAGGTCGAGCTCGGCCGCGCGCCGGCCCGTCAGAGCCAGATCGAGACTGCGCTCCGCGCCGGAAAGATGGCGGTCCCCCTGCTGCAGCGCGATCACGTTCCAACGGAGGTGAGCCATCACTTCCCAGTAGCCGACACGATCGGTTTCGATCTCGCGTCGGGCTTCGGCCTCGTAACCGCGATAGAAGTCCGCACGCGACGCAATCCCGCCCGCCTCCAGATCGTCGCGGCCGAAGCGCCAACAGGCCGCGCAGAACCAGCCGAGATCGCAGGCGGGGTCACCCCAGCCAGCGAACTCCCAATCCAGGACCGCGGTCAGACCCGCCTCGTCGACCATGTAGTTGCCAGTACGGAAATCGCGATGGACGAGCACGGTCTCATCGGGCGGCGGCGGCCGATGGAGTTCCGCCCAGCGCAAGCCCCACTCCAGAACCGGGCGCGGCTCGCCAAGCGCATCCACGTAGTCTCGTAGCTGCACCACATCGGCGAAGGCCGGATCGGCGGGCGGCTCTCCCAAAAACTCCAGCCCCTCGTGAGGCGGCCGGATCGAGTGGATCCGCGCCAGCTCGCGGCCCAGCCGTTCGGCCAGCGCGCTGCGGTCACCCCCCAAACGCAGATCCCTGACGATCTTGGATCCGAGCGCCACGCCCTCCACCTTGCGCATGACCTGAAAGGTCTTGCCCAGCACCCGGGCCTCTTCGCAGAGCCACAGCGGCTCGGGTACCGTTACACCGGCGGCCGTCGCAGCGCGGAGCAGCGCGAACTCCTCCGCACGGCTATGGCTGACGGCAACGCCGGAGAGCGCGTCGGTGCGCAGGACCAACTCCTGGCGACCGGCAAAGGGGCCGCCGAGAAAATCGACTTCCAGCAGCCAGTTCTCCTGAATCGCACCGCCGCTCAGCGGCCGAGCTTCGGCGATGGTCGCGGCGTCCGCGCGCGCCGCCTGGCCGATCCAGGCTTCAAGAGAGTCCTTGGCTTCGCCCAGCACCGACTCAGGCCTCCACCGCGTCCCAGGCGAAGAAGTCCTGTCCATCCTTCATCAGGAATCGCGACAGCACCATGCGATGCACCTCGCTGGCCCCATCCACCAGGCGAGCCTGCCGGGCGTAGCGGTACATCCACTCCAACGGCGTGTCCTTGGAGTAACCGCGCGCACCGCACAACTGAATGGCCGTGTCGACCGCCTGCTGCAGCGTATCGGCGACTTGGATCTTCGCCATCGAAACTTCCTTGCGGGCAAAGTCGCCGCTGTCGAGCTTGCTGGCGGCACGCATAGTCAGCAGCCGTCCGATCTCGATCTGCATCGCCGCGTGGCCGAGCAGGCCCTGGACGGATTCCCGCTCGGAGAGCCGCACCCCGAACCCCTGACGCTCCTGGACGTAGTCGCTGGCGATCTCCAAGGCGCGCTTGGCCATGCCGAGCCAGCGCATGCAGTGCGTAAGGCGCGCCGTGCCCAGACGCATCTGGGTCAGCTTCAGGCCGTCGCCGACCTCCATCAGGCGGTTCTCGTCGGGGATCTCCAGTCCCTCGAACTGAATCTCGCAGTGACCGCCGTGTTCTTCCGGCCCCATGATCGGGACGCGTCGCAGGATCTCCCAACCAGGCTGATCGCGGTCGAACAGGAAGGCAGTGAGATGCCGGCGGCTATCGGATCGGTCCGGGTTCGTCCGGGCAATCAGAATGAAGTGCTGCGCCACGCCGGCACCGGTGATGTACCACTTGCGCCCTTCCACAACCCAGCGGTCGCCCCGCTTCTCCGCGAAGGTCTGGATCATGCCGGGGTCGGAGCCGCCGCCCGGATGCGGCTCTGTCATCGCAAAGGACGAGCGAACGGCCCCATCGACGATGGGTTGCAGCCAGCGCTCTTTCTGCGCAGTCGTCCCGATCTTCTCGAGGATCATCATATTGCCGTCGTCGGGCGCGGCGCAGTTGAAGCAGACCGGTCCGAAGATCGAGCGTCCCATTTCCTCGTAGCAGGCCGCCATGCCGGCGACCGATAGGCCCTGTCCGCCCCGCGCCTTCGGCATTTGCGGCGACCAGAGTCCCGCCGCCCGAACCTTGGTCTGCATCTGTGCAAGCAGGTCGGGCCGAATGTTCTCATGCTCGTCGAAGTTCGACGGATCGCTCTCCAGCGGCAGAATTTCCTGCGCGACAAAGGCGCGGATCTCTCGGCGCAAGCGGTCGACATCAGGCGAAAGAGCAAAGTCCATTGGCAGGTATCCTAGGGCTAAAGGCAGACAGCAGTGCTGATGACGTCGAAGGGAACATAGCGGGAGAGAGGACGGTACACAGAGGTCGTCACAGGGTCGCCGATTGGCCGCCGTCGACGGTGACGACCGCGCCCGTCATGTAGCGCGACGCCTCCGACGCGAGCAGCAGCAAGGGGCCATCCAGATCGGAGAGTTCCGCGAAACGCCGCTGCGGAATGCGACGCAACAGCGACTCTCCGGCCGGACTCTGCAAAAAGTCGCGATTGAGGTCGGTGACGACGTAACCCGGCGCCAGGGCGTTGACCCGAATGTCCTGGCGCGCCAGTTCGGCCGCCATCGCGCGAGTCAGATTGATCAGCCCCGCTTTGGCCGCGCAGTAGCTGGCGACCTGTCCGCTCCCGCTCAGCCCGAGGATCGAGGCGACGTTGATGATGTTGCCGCCATGGCCCAACCGCACCATGTGACGCGCCGTCTCCTGCGCCACCAGCCAGGCCCCCTTGAGATTGGTGTCGACCACCCGGTCCCAATCGTCCTCGGTAAGCTCCAAGACGGGCTTGGAGTCCGCAACGCCGGCGTTGTTGATCAGAAGATGGATCGGCCCGAGTTCAGTTTCCGCGCAGCCGACCGCAGCCCTCACCGAGACGGCATCCCGGACATCGAGCTCGACCGGCAGCGCACGGCCACCATAAGACTCGATCTCCGCCTGAAGCGCTTCCAGGCGCTCCGTGCGCCGGGCGGCGATCGCCACCCGCGCACCGGCAGCCGCCAAGATCTGGGCGAAGTGACGACCGAGCCCACTGGAAGCGCCCGTCACCACGGCGTTCTTGCCCGTTAAATCAAATAGGTTCATAGAGTTAATCGATGCTCTTCGCGTCTTCACGCAGGACGAATTTCTGAATCTTGCCGGTCGATGTCTTGGGTAGATCGCGGAAAACCACGCTGCGTGGCGCCTTGTAGTGAGCCAGATTATCGCGGCAGAAAGCGATGATCTCCTCCGCCGTCGCCTCCATGCCCGGCTTGAGCGTCACGAACGCGCAGGGTGTCTCCCCCCAGCGCTCATCCGGTTTCGCGACGACGGCCGCCTCCAGGACCTTCGGATAGCGATACAGGGCTTCCTCCACTTCCAGCGAAGAAATGTTTTCGCCGCCAGAGATGATGACGTCCTTGGCGCGGTCCTTGACCTCGATGTAGCCGTCCGGATGCAGCACACCGAGGTCACCGGTGTGAAACCAGCCTCCGGCAAAGGCCTGGTCGGTGGCACTGGGATTCTTCAGGTAGCCTTTCATCACCGTGTTGCCGCGGAGCATCAGCTCGCCCATGGTCTGGCCGTCGCGCGGCACCTCTGACAGGGTTTGCGGATCCAGCACCGTCGCCTCTTCGAGCGTCACGTAGCTCACCCCCTGGCGCGCCATGCGGGCGGCCCGCTGCTCCAGATCGAGATCGCCCCAGGCATCCTGCGTGGCGCAGTAGGTCGCCGGGCCATAGCATTCCGTCAGGCCGTAGGCGTGAACCACCTGGAAGCCCTGTTTCTCCATGTTGGCGATGACCGTGGAGGGCGGCGCCGCACCGCCGGTCACGACCAGCACTGGCCGTCGCAGTTCGCGCCGCACATCGGCCGGAGCGTGCGCCAGCAGGTTCAGCACGATAGGCGCGCCGCAGAGATGGGTGACCTCCCGCTCCTCGATCAGGGCATAGACCAGCTTGGGATCGACCCGGCGCAGGCAGACGTGGGTCCCCTGAGCGGCGGTCACGCCCCAGGTGAAGGTCCAGCCGGAACAGTGGAACATCGGCAGCGTCCAAAGGTAGACGCTGCTGCGATCGAGCCCATAGGTCACGGCCTGCCCGACCGCGTTCAGGTAGGCGCCACGGTGATGATAGACGACGCCCTTGGGATTGCCCGTGGTGCCGGAGGTGTAGAGCAGGCAGAGCGCCTGCCACTCATCGTCTGGCAACCGCCAGGCAAAGTCCGGATCTCCTCCCTCGAGGAAGGCCTCGTAGTCGAGCTCCCCGAGCCTGGCCCCGCGCTCGCCGCCCTGCGCTTCCGTCAGGGGATCGTCGATGTCGATCACCAGAGGGCGCTTCGCGAGCTGCTTCAGAGCACGCTCGATGGTCGGCGCGAACTCCCGGTCGGTGATCAGCACTTTTGCCTCGCCGTGCTCGAGAATGAAGGCGAGGTTGGCGGCGTCGAGACGGATGTTGAGTGGATTGAGAACGGCACCGGCCAGAGGAACGCCGAAATGCGCCTCCAGAAGAGCCGGCACATTCGGCGCCATAATGGCCACGGTGTCGCCCTGTCCGATCCCCCGCCGCTGCAGGGCCGAGGCGAGACGGCGCACCCGCACACCCAGTTCGGCATAGCTGTAGACACGGTCGTGAATGACGGCAGGCTTGTTCGGATAGACCTGCTCGGCTCGCTTGAGGAAGCTCAAGGGCGACAGGGCAACCCAGTTGGCGGCGCCGCGATCGAGATCGCGGTCGTAGATCGATAGCCGGCCGTCCTCCGACATTGACACCTCCCCTCGCCTTGCTCTTCTCGCACTTGGCCGGTTGTTTGAATTGGCCGGCAAGCATAGAGGCCTACCGCCTAGCGAACCAGTCTCGCAAGCTCGTGACTTGCGGGTTCGATCCTGGCTGCCCACTCTGGGCATTATGGAACTCGACATCTTTTCGGACGTGATCTGCCCCTGGTGCTTCATCGGCAAGCGCCGGCTTGAAGCCGCCTTCGTCGAACGCCCCCAGGCAGGCTTGGTGGTGCGGTGGCGCGCCTTTCAGCTCAACCCCGATATGCCGACGGAAGGGATGGAGCGCCAAAACTATCTGGAGCGGAAGTTCGGCGGCACGGCCAATGCGCAACGCATCTACAATCAGATCGGCACCGTAGGCGCCCAGGTCGGTATCGACTTTGCCTTCGATAAGATCAAGCGAACGCCCAATACCATCGATGCCCACCGCCTGATTCGGCTGGCCGCCCGTCTCGATCGGGAAGACGCCGTCGTCGAGCGGCTCTTCAAAGCCTACTTCCTGGAAGGCGGCGATATCGGCGATTCAGGACTGCTCGCGGAGCTGGCTGCTGAGGCAGGGATCGACGCTCAGGAGGCCGCGCGCTTTCTTGCCAGCGACGAAGACCGCAGTGCGGTCGAGAGTGAAGATCTCAGCGGACGCCAGGCCGGGATCACCGGCGTCCCGACTTTTATCGTAAACCGTCGACATGCCGTCCCGGGAGCCCAGCCTCCGGAGGTGCTGCACAAGCTCTTCGACCTCGGCCGCGAAGGCCTGCAAGCCGCAGAGAGCTGACCGGAGAGCCTGACGCCGGACCGCTCGAGCGCGATGGTGTTTGACGAAAGCGGCTTGGCCGTCCATCACCGACGTGAATCGCACGCTCGCTTCGGAAACCGAAACCTATCGGCGCGGCGGAATCGAGTAGGTCGAGGTGACGTGCGCGACCGGACTGCCGGGGTCGTCGCCTTCCGCGTAGATCGAGACCTCACCGTAAGCCAGCCGCTGGCCGACCTTGAGAAGGCGACAGTCGCCAATCAAGGCGCCCGGCTGCGGCTTGCGCAGGAAATTGATCGAAAGGTTGGTCGTAACCGCCAGCTCGACCCTGCCGATCGCCGCCATGACCGCGATCCACATGGCGTAGTCAGCCAGGGCCATCATCGCGGGCCCGCTGATCGTGCCGCCGGGGCGCAGCAGGTCGGCATGGTCCGGCAGGCGCGCCTTGCAACGCCCCCACCCCAGGTCGATGGTCTCCATACCCAGCTTCTCGACCAAGGGCAGCTGCGGGTTCAACTCGGCCTTGATCATCGCCGCGTCGATCAGCGGCTGGCGCTCGGCCATCGTCCGGCTTGTCATGAAGTCCGTTCCCCCCGATGCTGTTGTCCTGTCATAGCGCTTGCAGGGGTCTCGGCGAAAGGCCCAGACGCGCACAGCAGGCTGTCTCGAACGGCGCCTGGAAGACCGAAACCGAGGAGGAAAGCCGATGCCCGAGGACGCCATGCAGCCGCTTGCCGCTCGCGCCGAAGAGCCCCCGGTCCTGCTTCGACGGGATTCTGGCGGCGTCGCCACCCTGACCCTCAATCGGCCCAAGGCCTATAACGCCCTGTCCGAAGAGCTGCTGGCGGCCTTGACTGAGGAATTGGGCCGGATCGCGAAGGACGACAGTCAGCGCGTCGTGGTGATCGAGAGCGCCGGCAAGGCCTTCTGTCCTGGGCACGACCTCAAGCAGATGCGCGCAACACCGGAGGAAGGCTACTATCGCCGGCTGTTCTCGGCCTGCAGTGAGATGATGCTGGCCATCGTCCATCTGCCGCAGCCGGTCATCGCCAAGGTGCACGGTCTCGCGACGGCGGCCGGTTGCCAGTTGGTCGCCACCTGCGATCTCGCCGTCGCAACGCGGGAGGCCCGCTTCGCGACAAGCGGAATCAACGCCGGCCTCTTCTGCTCGACACCCGCCGTCGCGCTGAGCCGCAACGTTCCCGCCAAGCCGGCCTTCGAGATGCTGGTGACGGGCGATTTCATCGATGCGGAGCAGGCCCGGCAGTGGGGTTTGGTCAACCGTGTCGTCCCGGCGGAGCAACTGGATGCCGCGGTCGAGGAGATGACCGAACAAATCATCGCGAAGTCCGCCGTCGCCGTACGTATGGGTAAGGAGATGTTCTATCGGCAGCGCGAGAAGACCCTGACGGACGCCTACGCCTATGCGGCCGACGTGATGGCCTGCAACATGATGGCCGAGGACGCCGGCGAAGGCCTGGACGCCTTCATAGAAAAGCGCCATCCCGTCTGGAAAAACCGCTGATCTACGCCCTGAAGTCGCGCTGAACAGCGGTCGGCGAACAGGCCCTGGGGGATGACCTTGGCGGATTGATTGGGGATCTTTTCGCGACCCCGATTGCGCCGGCCCTGCGGACTGCGCTAGGCAAAGCCGATGAACCTGCCCCGCCTTTTCGTCTCGCTGGCCTGCTGTTTGCTGCTCGCCGCACCGCTTCGCGCTCAGGTACCGTTGGGCGAACTGCAGCCCGGTGTCGACCTTCTGCTGACCGGCGATGCGGAGTCCGCCGCCAACATCCTGCTTCCGCTGGCCGAGCGCGGCGACCTCGATGCACGCTACCTTCTGGCGACCGATGCCCAGCTCGGCAAAAGCGTGGCGATGGAGGGCTGGCGCCGGTCGCTCGACAGCCCCGAGGCGGCGGCCGAGCAGCTTCAGGCCTGGCTCGGTACGGCAGCCGATGCAGGGCATCCCGGCGCACTGGAGGCCATGGTCAGCCGCGGCCAGACTCTGGCGACGCGGCTGCACTACGCAGAGCGCGGTGCCGGCGCGGGACTGGCGATCGCACAGGAATGGCTGGGTGTGGTGCGTTTCGGCGCTTATGGCGAGGGCGAGGCGCGGCCGGAAGATGCGGTCGCCTGGCTGCGGCTGGCGGCCGAGGCCGGGCGTTCGTCGGCCGCGATCGCGCTCGGCGTCCGCTACCTGAACGGCAACGACCTGCCGCTCGACCAGGACCACGGCGTGCGCTGGCTGATCTACGCGACCGACCTGGGCGACCCCACGGCGCTGCTGCCGCTGGCGCGGGCCGGAGCTTCGGATCCCTCCCTGGTCGGCGGCCGTGAGGAGGCTTTGCGCTGGCTGATGACCGCCCAGGAGAACCTGGGCGAAGGACTGGCCCGTTCGGCCCGGGAGCTGCGCGACTCCCTGGAACGGGATGCGGTCCGCCGAGCGGAGGACGACGCCCGCATCTGGTGGGAGCGCAAGCGCGCCGACCTCTCGACACCGCTCGGACGAACCGACCGCTGGCTTCAGGCCGCCTTCGAGGACGACCGAGAGTGGGCGAACTGGGAGGTCGCCTTCCTGGCCTCCAACGTCGACTGTCCGGCCCCGACCCTGCAACGCCTGATCATCAACAACTACGAAGCCAGCGGCCATTTCGATGCCTGCATGCGCGACGCGCTGTCGGCCTACGGCGTACGCTGACGGCATGGCTTCGGGTCAGATCAACAGCAACGTCACCACCGCAAAGTAGATCAGCAGGCTGAGCACGTCCTGCAGGATGGTACAGATCGGGCCGCTGCCGAGGGCCGGATCGAACCCCAGCCGCTGGAAACCCCAAGGCAGAGCGAGGCCTATGACGGCCGAAACGGTGCCGGCGCCCAGAACCGCCAGGGCAACGGCCAGCGCCAGCAGACCGTCGTCGAAGACCCACCAGATCGGCAAGACGACAAGGGCGCCAAGGGCCAGGCCGATGAGACTGCCGGTCGCCAGTTCCCGGAGCAGAAGCGGCCCCATCGCCATGCGCCGCGCCCCGAGGCCTCGAACGGCGACGGAGACGGCCTGCGTGCCGATCGCGCCCGCGATGTAGACCAGGGCCGGCACGAAGAAGGCGACCGCCACGTTGGCGTTCAGCGTGTGCTCGAAGCGCGCGACCACCAGCGTCGCCAGCGAGGAGGCCAGCAATCCGATCACCAGCCACGGCAGGCGGCGCCTGAGCCGGTCCAGGAGCGGCGCCTCCAGGGCGCCGCGGGCGATATCGTCGCCGTTCCGTGCGATACCCGCGAGACGCTGCAGATCCTCGTCGTGCTCGCGGCGCAGAATCCGGGCCAGCGCCTGGGGCGGCACGGCGCCGAGCAGACGGCCAGCCTCGTCGACCACCGGAACCGCGACCAGCCCGAGGCGCAGCGCGGCCAGCGCCACGGCCTCCTGGTCCTGGTCGGGGTGGACCGCCGTATGCTCCGGCTCCATCAGCTCCGCCATCGCCTGATCGGGCCGCGCGGCCAGCAGGTCGTTGATATGGACGAGCCCCTCCAGCCGGCCGTCGTGGTCGGTCACGAAAACCGCCTCGGCGCAGTCGAAATGACGGCCTCTGAGGTCGTCCAGCACCCCAGCGGCCCCATCGCCGGTCTCCGCTCGCGGTACACGACTGGCCATATGCGCACGGGCGCTCTCGTGCGGTCGACTGCGCAAACCCGGCCAGAGCGTCTCGACTGCCGCCATCGTCTTCCCAGTCCCCTTCCCGCACGTCTCGGCCACTCTCACCGCGGGACACCCGCGAGACGGCGTGCTACCGGTCAAGCCCCCGCAGCGCAAACGTTGATCGCGTCGGGGAGTTCGGCGCATCTTGTCCGCCGTCACCCAAATGCGCGTTGCTCGAGAGCGCGATCCTGCTCTAGCGCTCTCACCGCCAGTCCGGCAACGCCCCTTTTCACCAGACCGCGGATCCCATGACCCACGACAGCTATGCCGACAGCTACCTGCGCCGCATCCTGAAGGAAACCAAGACCATCGCCATGGTCGGCGCCTCCGCCAACTGGAACCGTCCCAGTCACTTCGCGATGAAGTACCTGCAGACGAAGGGATACCGCGTGATTCCGGTCAATCCGGGACAGGCGGGAAAGCCGCTGCTGAACGAAATCTGTTACGCTCGTCTTTCAGAGGTTCCCGAGCGCTTCGATTTGGTGGACATCTTCCGCAATTCCGAGGCGGCGGGTGCCATCGTCGACGAAGCCATCGCCCTGAAGGATGCCAGGGGAATCCGCACGATCTGGATGCAGCTGGGCGTCAGGAACGAGGCAGCAGCCGCGCGCGCGGAAGCCGCCGGACTGCAGGTGGTCATGGACCGTTGTCCGAAGATCGAATTCGGCCGCCTGAACGCCGAACTCTCGTGGGGCGGCTTCAATTCCGGCATCATAAGCTCGAAGCGCCGCAAGCTCGGCGCCTGAGCGGACCAACGAAGACGGACCAATGAGGGAGGACCTGCGATCATGAGTAGCGACACACCCGGTTTCGAGACGCTGCAGCTCCATGCCGGCACGCAGCCGGACCCGGTCACCGGGGCGCGGCAGACGCCGATCTATCAAACGACCTCCTACGTCTTCGAAGACGCCGATCATGCGGCGAGCCTGTTCAACCTTCAGACCTTCGGCTTCATCTACTCGCGCCTGACCAACCCGACCGTCTCAGCGCTGGAAGAGCGGCTGGCGGCCCTGGAAGCCGGCAAGGGCGGCACGGCCTGCGCATCCGGTCACTCGGCGCAGCTGCTTGCTCTGTTCCCCCTCATGGAAGCGGGAGACGAGGTCATCGCCTCGACCCGCCTCTACGGCGGCTCGATCACTCAGCTTTCGAAGTCTTTCCGCAAGTTCGGCTGGACCGTGCGCTTCGTCGACTTCGACGATCACGACGCCGTTCGCGCCGCCGTCGGTCCGAAAAGCAAGGCGATCTTCTGTGAGTCTCTGGCAAACCCGGGCGGCGTCGTTACCGATCTGGAGGCCCTGGCGGCTATCGCGGACGACGCCGGGATTCCGTTGATCGTCGACAATACCATGGCGACGCCCTACCTCTGCCGGCCGATCGAGTTCGGCGCGACCCTGGTCGTGCATTCGACCACCAAGTTCCTGACCGGCAACGGCACGGCCATGGGCGGGGCGGTTATCGATTCCGGCCGCTTCGACTGGTCCCGGAACGACAAGTTCCCCAGCCTCGCGGGACCGGAAGAGGCCTACCACGGCCTGAACTTTCTGGAGACCTTCGGGGATCTGGCCTTCACCATGCACTCACACGCAGTCGGCTTGCGCGACCTTGGGCCCTGCCAGTCTCCGATGAACGCCTGGCTGACCCTGCTCGGAACCGAGACCCTGTCCCTGCGCATGGAGCGGCATTGCGCCAACGCCCTGGCGGTCGCCGAGTTCCTGGAAGGGCACCCTCAGGTCGAGTGGGTGTCCTATGCCGGCCTCGGCTCCAGCGCATACAAGCCGCTGACCGACAAGTATCTGCCGAAAGGCGCTGGCGCCGTCTTCACCTTCGGCGTCAAGGGCGGCTACGAGGCCGGCCGGGCCGTGGTGGAGAACTGCGAGATGCTGAGCCACCTGGCCAACATCGGCGACACCCGTTCCCTGATCATCCACCCCGCCTCGACCACACACCGGCAGTTGACCCCGGAGCAGCAGACCGCCGCCGGCGCGGGACCGGAGGTCGTGCGCCTGTCGATCGGCATCGAAACGCTCGAAGACATCATCGCCGACCTGGACCAGGCACTCGGACAAGCTCAGAAGAAAGCTGCGGAGTGATCGGCCGTCCCTAGATAAAGGACGAGTTCTGGACGGTCGCCGTACGGCGACCGTCCGGGGTTTCCACCTCGACTTGAGTGCCGCCGGTCCAATGGCTGAGCTGGACCATGCCGATCGCGACATTCGTGCCGAAGTCGGGCGACCAGGCGGCGGAGGTCACCTGCCCCACGCGGGTGGCGGTGCCCGGCGCGTAGAGCGGCCAAGGCTCCAGACAGGCCGGAACGGGCTCGCCCTCGATGGCCAGGCTGCGGATCTGACGCACCGGACCTTCCATGGCCGTGCGCAGAAGCGCGTCCCGACCGACACAGCCGATCGCCATGAAAGTATCGCAGAAGCGGCCGAGACCGCATTCATGGGGAGTATTCTCGCGCGTCATGTCGTTGCCGTAGGAGAGCAACTGCGCCTCGATACGCTCGATCAGGTTCGGACACCCCGCCTTCACCTGCAGGTCTTCGCCCCTGCTCATGAGAGCGTCCCAAAGCGGCTCCGCCAGCTCGGCCGGCTCGAGGTAGATCTCGAAACCGCCCTGCTTCGAATAGCCTGAACGGGCGACGACCAGGTCCTGGCCTTGAAAGGGCAGAAGACCGAAGCGAAAGAAGCGGATGTCGCGCACGGCCGGGCCGAAGACCCGCGACATCAGTTCCTCGGCCTGCGGCCCCTGCACCGCCAGGGGGGATACGTCGGGCTCGGTGATGTCGACATCCAGCCGGAAGCCGTAGGCGAGCCCCTTGGCCCAGAGCAACAAGTCGCTGTCGGCGATGGAGATCCAGTAGCGGTCCTCGGCCAGCTTCACCGTGACGGGGTCGTTCAGCATGCCGCCCGTCTCGTCGACCATCGGCGTGTAGTAGCAGCGCCCGGGCGTCATGGGGCGCAGATCGCGCGGCGTGAGCATCTGCAGCAGGCGCGCCGCCTCTCGGCCTCGCACCTCGATCTGACGCTGGCAGGCGACATCCCAAACCTGCACGTGACGCTTGAGGTGATGGTAGTCGGCCTCGACCGCCTCGAAGGCCGTCGGCAGCAGCATGTGATTATAGACGGTATAGGCCTGGACGTCCGATCGCTCGACCCGATCGGAAAAGGGCGTACGCCGAATACGTCGCGACGGCGTGAGGGTAAAGGTCTGCCCCATCTCGACTTTCCTCGCTGAACCTCTGTTCGAACTGAGTAGCCGAGATCGCGCGGCTCTGCCACGGCAGCCGCGACATCGCGATGGCGTTCCTAGAGCAGAATCGCCTTGGGTGGGAATTCCGCTCTACTCATAAGGTCGGAAAGCGATTCACGTTCCAGGCGGAAGCGACCCGCTTCCGCCTGAGGCGATCGCACTCTAGACAAGGCGGTGTAAGGAGCAGCGCCAGCCAAGGAGTTCAGATGAGCGACGAGCTGTCCATCTACGTCGACGCCGACGCCTGCCCGGTGAAGTCGGAGGTCTACCGCGTTGCGGAGCGCTACGGCCTCAAAGTCTATGTCGTGGCGAACGACATCATGAGCGTGCCGCGCGATCAGCCGAACGTCGAGCTGGTGGTCGTCAGCGACCGCTTCGACGCCGCCGACGACTGGATCGCGGAACGGGCCGGCGCGAGCGCTATCGTCGTCACCAGCGACATACCGCTCGCCAGCCGCTGTGTGAAGGCAGGCGCCTACGTTCTCGCACCCAACGGGCGTGTCTTTTCTTCGGACTCGATCGGCATGTCGCTGGCGGTCCGCAACCTGATGCAGGATCTACGTGCCGGAGGCGAGACTCTCGGCGGCCCCGCCCCCTTCTCCAAGAAGGACCGCTCGGCCTTTCTCTCCGCACTGGATCTCGCCGCGAACCGCGTGCGGCGGCGGCTCCCGAAGTAGCCTCTCCCAGCGAGTCTGCCGAGCGGGTCAGTCGTAGGTCGCGATCTCGACCAGGTTCTCGTCGGGATCCCGAATGTATAGCGATGTGACAGGGCCGAGAGCGCCCACCCGCGGCACGGGACCCGCCACCAGGGGAATGCCGGCGGCATCGAGAGTCTGCCGAACCTGCTCTAACGGCACGGCGGCGATAAAGCAGATGTCGGCCGAACCCGGTGTCGGATTGCCCGCCTTGGTATCGATCGGGCTGGGATTGGGGTGCAGGTTGATTTTCTGCTGACCGAAACGCAGCGCGGTCCGGCCCTCGCCGAAGGTCTCGCGCTCGAGCCCTAGGGCCGTCTCGTAGAAATCGCAGGTTCTCTCGATGTCCTCGACGGTCAAAACCAGATGATCGAGACTCTCGACCAGGGTCATTCCGCTCTCCCTTCAGGTTTCTTGTTTCTCTGTTCCCTGTTCACTCGGCAGGCTGCGGCGCAGCAACGGCCTCCGCCTTGCGGTCGCCCGGCAGGAAGATCGCCGCAACAGTGGCAATCAGCGCCAAGCCGGCGGCCAGGACGAACAGCCAGGTGAACTCGTCCGTCGTCTGCTTGATCTCGGCCACCGCCCAGATCGCCACAGGCGCGGTGCCGAAGGCCAGCACGAACTTGGCGCCATAGGCCAGACTCCTGTGGCGCGCCGGCGTATAGCGGGCCAGCAGCATGTTCTCGGCCGGAAGCGCAGCGGTCGACAACAGCACCGCAAGTGCGGCCGCCACGACCAGCGGCAGGCCGCCGAAGAGCCCGATGGCGACCAGCACGGGCGCCTGCAGCAGGAAAGCGCCGATGTAGAGCGGCTTCAGGGGCAGCCTATCGGCCAGATGACCGCCCAGAACCTGCATGATGCCACCCACCGTGTAGACGGCAGCCACCAGGACGCCGATGCCGAAGGCCCCCTCGCCCACCATGTCGCGCAGACGCAGATCGAAAACCTTTGGCAGGGCTGCCTGCGTGGCTTGGAACAGCAGGCCCATCACGGTCATGGTCAACACGAGGACCAGGAACACGCGGAGCAGCTCTCCCCGCCCCGAGGACTGGTGCGCCACCGTGTCGCCAGCGCCCTCCGTAACCAAACCGCGCAGGATGGCGAACCAGAGCAGAAGGCCGGTTGCGATACTGACGACCCCGGGCACGATGAAGGCGGCCCGCCAGGAAAAGAGGTCGATCAGCGAGCCCGCAACCAGTCCGGCCGAGGCCACGCCGATGGCCCCGAAGACACCGTTTATGCCCAATGCCCGCCCCCGCTTGCTGGCCGACTTGACCAACCAGGCGATGCCGACCGGATGATAGATCGCGGCGAACAGGCCGATCGCCGCCAGACCGATCAGCAGTGCCGTCGGCTGATCGACCAGACCGCACAGGATGGCGGCAGCGCCCATGCCCAGGAAATAGACCACCATCATGCCGCGGGCGGACCAGCGGTCGCCCAGCCAGCCCGCAGGCAAGGCCGCGAGCCCGACCAGCAGGGCGCCGAGGGTCCAGAGCTCGATCAGCTCATGGTACGGAAGGCGCCAGACCTCCTCCAGCGATAGCACGATCACGAAGTAGAAGGCCGTGAAGAGATGGACGTAGAGGTGACCCAGGCAGCTGAAGATCAGCGGCAGCCGGGCGGACAGCGCGGACATGAAGTCACCCTAGCGGTGAGGAGGTCCCAGCAGCTTGCCGTGCGGCGTCCGCCGGAGCAAGCCGGCGGCCTGCATGGCTGGCTTGCCCTCTTGCCGGTCCGCTGGAGCGCGATCGTGCAGGCTGGACACCCTGTCGCCTCCGCTCTTTACAGGAAGCTCCCTGTACGAACAGGACTGCCTTAGATTGGATCGCCCGTCTCCGTGCCGATCCAGTCGAGAAACGGCTGGTGACCCGGTTCGATCGGCAGCGCGACCACGCAGGGCAGATCGTAGGCATGCGCCTCGACGATCAGGCGGGTGGCGGCCGGGACCAGGTCGGCGCGGGTCTTGGCGATCAGAATCGCTTCGCTTCCCTCCTGCACGCGGCCTTTCCAGCGGAAGATCGGCGTCATCCCCGCGATCACGTTTGCGCACGCGACCAGACGCGCCTCCACAAGGGATCTGCCGATGGCCTTGGCCTCGTCTTCCGTCTCCGCCGTCACGTACAGCAGTTTGTAAGTCATAGCTTTCCGATCGCTTGCTGGAACATCGCAGTAGAGGCCGCTACCTTAGATGAGATGCCACGCAATCGCCGGGCCTACAAAACAAGCCCGATAGATCGCTATCTGGTTCAGCCGAGGGATGCAGAATGGCGACGCTGCGGAGCGGTGCAAGCGGAAGACGAAGCGCGACGGCGGCGCAACGCGCCTATCTGCGGCGTGGCCTCGATCAACCTGGCGGCAAACTTCCCCTGTTCGACGAGGATGGGCAGCGCTACCCGGGCAGCACGATAAGAAGCTGCATCGAGCGCGGTTGGGCAGAGCCGTGGTTCGAAAACCCGATCAAACCGGATTGGTTGGTCTGCCGCTTGACTCAGGCCGGACGCCGCCTCTTCGACAAAAGTGGCCGATCAACCCGTTAGCAAAACCTGTTACGAGAGAACTTGAGCTGAAAAGTGGTCGGGACGGCAGGATTTGAACCTGCGACCCCCAGTCCCCCAGACTGGTGCGCTACCAGGCTGCGCTACGTCCCGATCCTTTTTGACCGGATCCTACTTGGGTCCGGTTCCCAGCCGCTCTGACCGCTCCTGGCAAGGCGATCCAACACGGGAACCGCTATATAGCCGGCACGGCTGCGGCTGACAACACGAGCCTGATCCGACGGCAACAAAGACTGTTCGCAAGCACGGCTCCAGGTTCCGCGCCCCTAAGCCGACGGCGACGAAACCCTGGGACTCTCGGGTGTGTGCGACGAGGCGCACTTCGGTCTAAAACAGGATGAGAGTGCGATTTACCCGTTTTGACGGAAGCCAAGCCGCTTCCATCGAACAGGATCGTTAACGAGGCACCGAAGCCTTCTGCAGAAGGTCGCGCAAGCTGGTCAACTCCTTGCGGAGATCGGTCAACTCGCGACGAACGGCAGCCGGCAGGTCCGGGGCCTCTCGCCCTTCGGGCGCAGCCGCTGGAAGGCCCTCCCCCTTGGACTCACGCAAGAGCTTCTGAACGCCCTTGATGGTGTAGCCCTCGCGATAGAGCAGATCGCGAATGCGGCGCAGCAGCTCGATATCGCTCGGCCGGTAGTAACGCCGGCCGCCACCGCGCTTGAGCGGGCGAACCTGGCTGAACTTGGTCTCCCAGAACCGCAGGACGTGCTGTGGCACGTCCAGTTCCTCGGAGACTTCACTGATGGTTCGAAAAGCATCGGCGGATTTTCCGCCGGCCCGCCCGCTGCCGCGCCCGGTCGACTGGCCGCTCGTCTGGCTGGCCGGCTGTTCGCTATCGCGCATGATGCGTCCGGAAACGACTTGATCGGTCACGAGGTGCTCGGTCCCGCACTGCTATACTGAGGAAAGGTCAGCCGTGATCGGCTTGATTGATCTTCTGTTTCAGCACGTGCGACGCGCGGAACACCAACACACGGCGCGGCAGGATCGGAACCTCTTCACCGGTCTTGGGATTGCGCCCCACACGCTCGCCCTTGTGACGCACGGAGAAGCTGCCGAAGGACGAGATCTTCACGGTGTCACCGGCAACCAGTGCGGAAGAGATTTCATCCAGTACCGCTTCGACCAACTCCGCGGACTCGTTTCGAGAGAGGCCGACCTCCTCGTAGACGGCCTCACTGAGATCGGCCCGTGTAATGGTCGACCCGCTCATCAGCGCCTCTCCTCTATAAGCTGAAACAAGAGGTTACTTGAGTGCGTTCAAGCGGTCAATCACACCAATTGTGCAAATAACGGGACAGGGACGGCGGCAGGACAGGGACGGCCGGCTACCAGCGCACGACAGCCGAGCCCCAGGTGAAGCCGCCGCCCATTGCCTCGAGCAACAGCAGGTCACTGGGCTGGAGCCGCCCGTCGACCCCGGCCGCATCGAGCGCGAGGGGAATCGAAGCGGCGGAGGTATTGGCGTGTTTGTCGACGGTCACGACGACCTGGTCCATCGGAAGGTTCAGACGCTTGGCCATCGCCTCGATGATCCGGACATTGGCCTGGTGCGGAACCAACCAATCGATATCGCCAGGCGTGAGGTCATTGGCCTCCAGCGCCGCGTCGATCGCCTCGGCCATGCGGACCACGGCGTGCCGGAAGACCTCCCGCCCTTCCATCCGGAGATGCCCGGTGGTCTGGGTCGAGGAAGGTCCGCCATCCACATAGAGCGCATCGTGGTGGCGACCGTCGGAATAGAGATGGGTCGAGAGAACGCCGCGGTCACCGTTGTCGCCGCGGCCCTCCTCCGCCCGCAACAGAACGGCGCCGGCCCCGTCGCCGAACAGCACGCAGGTACCGCGGTCGTTCCAGTCCAGGATCCGGCTGAAGGTCTCCGCACCCACCACCAAAGCCGTCTTGGCCTGTCCCAGGCGCAGAAAGTTGTCGGCCACGGCCAAGCCATAGACGAAACCGCTACAGACCGCCTGCACGTCGAAGGCCGCGCCGCCCGTCGCGCCGAGTTGCGCCTGAACGCGCGTTGCCGTGGCGGGAAAGGTTTCGTCCGGGGTCGCCGTGGCGCAGACGATCAGATCGACCGCCGTTGCGGCAACTCCCGCGCGCTCCAGGGCCTGCCGGCAAGCCGCGACCGCGAGATCGGAGGTCAGCTCACCGTCGGCCGCGATATGGCGCTGGCGTATCCCGGTACGCTTGACGATCCAGTCGTCGGAGGTCTGCACCTTGCGGGCGAGATCGTCGTTGGTCCAAACGGTTTCCGGCAGGTAAGCGCCATGTCCGATCACTTGCGCACGCAAGGGCATAGGAATTCCGGGAGACTTGGGCCGGTGCCGCGCTAGACGGCGGCGGCCTGGGCGGTACTGGAAGGACGACGGTCGAGCTTCTCGATATCGGCACGAATGGAGTCGATGAAACGGTGGCGTGCCAAATCGACTGCAAGGGTCACGGCATGCGCGAAGCCCAAGGCATCGCTCCCCCCGTGACTCTTAACGGCAATACCGTTGAGCCCCAACAGCACGGCTCCGTTGTAGCGGCGCGGATCGACCCGCTTGCGCAGCTTGCGCATCGCCGGCTTGGCCAGAAGATAGCCGAGCTGCGCCAGCGGCGAGGAACGAAAGGTTCGACGCAGGAATTCGGTGTAGAGCTTTACCGTTCCCTCGGCCGTCTTCAGCGCGACATTGCCCGAGAAACCGTCGGTGACCACGACATCGGTGGTGCCGCTCGCGATATCGTCGCCTTCGACGAAACCGTAGAAGCGGCCGGGCAGGTTGGCGTCGCGCAGGATCGCAGCAGCCTCCCGCAGCTCTTCGTGGCCCTTCTGCTCCTCGGATCCGACGTTGAGAAGGCCGAAGCTCGGCTCCTCAAGCCCGAGAACCGAACGGATGAAGGCGTTCCCCATCACGGTGAACTCCACCAGGTTCTCAGCATCGCAGGTGACGTTGGCCCCGAGGTCGAGCATCACCGACTCGCCGCGCAGGGTCGGGAAGAAGGACGCCATTGCCGGACGGTCGATGCCTTGAACCATCTTGAGCGCGAACTTGGCCATGGCCATGAGCGCACCGGTGTTTCCCGCCGAAACGCAGGCGTCCGCCTCGCCGTCCCGGACGGCGTTGATCGCAAGCCTCATGGAGGAATTGCGACCGCTTCGCAGAGCGACCGAGGCGCGCTCGTTGGACTCGACCACGTCGTCGGTATGAACGATCCGCGAAACTTTGTTCAACTTCTTCAATTTGTTCAGAAGCGGACGGATCTGCTCCTCCCGGCCGAAGAAGACGAACTCCAGATCGGGTTTGCGGCGCAAAGCCATGTTCGCGCCCCGTATGACTACGGACGGCGCGTGATCGCCTCCCATGGCATCCAACGCGATGACTAAACGGCTGCTCACGGCCTCGTCAGAGTCCTCGTGCCTCAGGCGCAGCGATCGCTCGCGACCTAGAACTCGTCCTTCGGCTCCAGGATCTGCCGACCGCGATACATGCCGGTTTTCAGATCGATATGATGGGGACGGCGCAGCTCGCCGCTGTCCTGATCCTCAACATAGCTTGGGGTCTTCAGTGCGTCGTGGGCACGGCGCATATCGCGGCGCGACTTCGACACCTTCTTCTTGGGTACAGCCATCTCTCTTCATCCTCATGCTTGCAGGGCTCGCAAAGCCCATAGAGGGGAATTCCCCCTCACCTGATAAGTCCACAGCCGGGAACCGCAAGGCGCCCGCGCCGGAAACCTCAGCCAGTTGCTCCGTTAGGCCCGCAGTCTCTCAGAATCCTGCGATTCCCGCCCCTCTTAGCCCAAAACGAAAGCAAGCGGCAAGGGCGCCGGCCCGCCGACCAGAGCCTTTGTCACAGACGCCGCCTGCACTCTCAACTCTTATCACCCCGCTCCGGCCTCAGCTGGCGCAGCTTGGCGAAGGGTGAGGCCTCGCCGGGCTGCTCCGGAACAGCTTGCCCGCCTGGCGCCGTCATGGAACCGTTTTCAGCCGGACCGAACTCGGTCCTGTCGAGCACGGCCTCGGCGGCCCGCGGGAAGGGATCGAGGGCCACTGCCAGGGTCTGCGCCATGGCCTCGCCCAAGTCGATCGCCCCCTGTTCGATCGGCTCGGGCGGATCCTCGCCCTCAGCCTCGACCAATACCTCTCCGGCGGGCTCGAACTGAACCTCCGAGGCGAAACGGAGTGAGACCGGAAGATCCAACGCGAAGGGAACCGGCTCCAGACTCACCACGCAGATCTGCGCGCCTTCCGCCCGCAGCCGACCGCTTACCCGCACCAGACCAGCCCCTTCGCGATCGACCTGCAAATCGGCAACCAACCGGTCCAACCCGGCAAGATCGAAACGCGCGACCAGGGCCTCGCGTTCGGCCGGCCTCGCCTCGATCTCGACGACGGCGGTCTGCGCACCAAGCTTGTCCAACGCGAAGAGGCGCGAGAACTCCGGATCTACCGCAGGCAGTCCTGCTTTCGCCTCTCCTCGACTACCCTTGCGCATGGTCGTTCCCTCGACACTCCCCGACCGCGCGGGGCGGCGGACCCTAGTCAAGCCGCTCTTCAGGGTCAACTCCGCGGCTGAAGCTGGCGGATCGGGCCGTTCAACCGGCCCGCAGATCCGCAGTGTCCGAAGACGCGTCCGTTGCCGAGGGCGGGGATTCGAAGAACAGCGAGCCGGCTAGAAGCTCGGTCAGCGCTTGGCCGGCCAAGCTCCGGCTCTCCTGCCGCAAATAGGCTGCCATGGCGCGGGTCTGCAAGGGGCTCGGCGGTTCCCCGCTCCCGTAGAGATTACGTGCCAAGGCCGCCTCCAGATCAGCGGGCTCCGACGCGGCGAGCGCCTTCTCATAGGCCCGATAGCGGCCCATCAGAGCCTCCCCCATGGCCTTCAAGCGCTTTGCGCTGCCGTGATCCCCCGCCCCGCTGATCCGAACGGATTGATCGAGATGGAAGGCCATGATGTCGAACAAGCGCTGGGATAGGTCCTCCGTCGCACTGCGATCCAGTTTCAAGCGATGGAAAACGAGAAAGGAATGCAGAGCCAGCAGTTCGAAGCGACCATCTGCACTGTCGGGGACGGCCAAGTCGGTGTAGAAAGCGGGTTGGCGGGCCTGAGCGACGACAATGTCGTAGAGCGCGCGCGCGGCCTCGTCTCCGCGGCGGTCGCCGGGAGTCTTCAGAGGGTTGCGGCTGAACAGTCGTGTAAGCACAATTATGCGCCTTTCGTAACGCCATCGTCGTCGCGGGCCGTTGCATCGGTCGGTGACCGTCAAATGGCAGGATCCGGCGAGAGGTCAAGGCGAGGCGGATAGAGCGCGTCCGTCCCGACTGGAAGCGGTTTCGTTTCCACGCTGGGCGTGAGCCGCACTTTGAACGTAAGAAAGACGTGCACCCACGCCCTCGGCGGCATCGTGTTGGTCATGTCACCGGCAGCAGGGACCCACTCTGGGATGGATGAAAGACAATGTTCGAGTTGACTGTGCCCCCTCTTCGCAAACTGCTGTTGGTCGGCACGGCGGCCTTGCTGATCGCCGGCTGCGCAGAGCGCGTCGATGTGCGCGGCAACCTGCCGGACGTCGAGCAGGTGGTGGAGATCCAACCCGGTATTTCGACGCGCGACGACGTCGTTCGTATCCTGGGGACGCCCTCAGCCCTGTCCAGCTTCCAGGACCGCACCTGGTACTATATCGGCCAGCGGCAGGAGCAGTTCGCGTTCCTCCGGCCGGAAGTCACCGACCGCAGCGTGCTGATCGTCACCTTCGACGATCGTGGCGTGGTCCAGGAAACGCGCCTGAACACCCTTGAGGATGCCCACAGCGTCGATCTGGTCGAGCGGGAAACCCCGACCGAAGGCCGGGAACTGACGGTGCTGCAGCAGCTCTTCGGCAACCTGGGCCGCTTCCCCGGCTCGACGGGGGAATAGCGCCGGGCATCGAACCGCGGCCCGAACACCGCAAGCCAGCGCCGTGCAAGCGAAGAGAGCCCGGAGATCTCTCCAGGCCCTTCGTCGTTCGACCTGCCACGCGCGAGTGTGCAGGCGTCCCGAGTTAAAGCGATAGGTCTTATTCAGCCCGGGACCCAGATCGCACTCTAGATCGTCAGTGCGAGCAGAATAGGCGCCTTGGGGACATCGCAAGAGCGATGCCCCCCTCCAAAGACGACCCTGCCCTAGTGGGCGAGCACCGCAAGCAGCAACAAGGCCACGATGTTGGTGATCTTGATCATGGGATTGACGGCCGGGCCGGCGGTGTCCTTGTAGGGATCGCCCACCGTATCGCCCGTGACGGCGGCCTTATGGGCCTCCGAGCCCTTACCGCCGTGGTTGCCGTCCTCGATGTACTTCTTGGCGTTGTCCCAGGCACCTCCGCCCGCGGTCATGGAGATGGCCACGAACAACCCGGTAACGATCACCCCCAACAGCATGGCACCGACCGCCGAAAGCGCGGCCGACTGGTCCGCCACGGCCCAGACCACGAAGTACAGCACCAGTGGCGAGAAGACCGGCAACATGGAGGGGACGATCATCTCCTTGATGGCCGTCTTGGTCAGCATGTCGACGCAGCGCGCGTAGTCGGGCTTCTGGGTGCCTTCCATGATGCCCGGCATCTCCTTGAACTGACGCCGGACCTCCTCAACTACCGCGCCGCCGGCACGGCCGACCGCCATCATGCCCATGGCGCCGAAGAGATAGGGCAGCAGACCGCCAACGAAGAGGCCAATCACCACAAAGGGATTGGAAAGCGAGAAGTTCACCACCACGCCCTCGAAGGCCTCGACCCCTTCCTGGATGAAGAAGTTGAGATCCTCCGTGTAGGCGGCGAAGAGCACTAGGGCGCCGAGACCGGCCGAGCCGATGGCATAGCCCTTGGTGACGGCCTTGGTGGTGTTGCCCACGGCGTCCAGTGCATCGGTGGTTTCGCGCACGCTGGCATCCAGGTCTGCCATCTCCGCAATGCCGCCGGCGTTGTCCGTGACCGGACCGAAGGCGTCGAGTGCCACCACCATGCCGGCCAGGGCCAGCATCGCAGTCACTGCGATGGCGATACCGAAGAGGCCAGCCAGCACGTAGGTCAGGTAGATGCCGATCACGATCACCAGCGCCGGCAGCGCGGTCGCCTCCATGGAGACGGCCAAGCCCTGGATCACGTTGGTGCCGTGCCCCTTGACCGAGGCTTCGGCGACCGACTTGACCGGTCGGAAGTTGGTCCCGGTGTAATACTCGGTAATCACCACGATCAGCCCGGTGACCGCCAGTCCGACCAGGGCGCAGAGGAAGAGGTCGAAGCCGTTAAAGACGGTGTCGCCGTAGCTGTAGTCCGTACCGAACCCGAGCGTGGCCCACGTCACCGGGAGAAAGGCCACGGCCGAGAGCAGGACCGACGCACCGAACCCCTTGTAGAGCGCAGCCATGATCTTCTTGCTCGGCCCTAGCTTCACGAAGTAGGTGCCGGCAATGGAGGTGAAGATACAGGCCGCGCCGATCAGCAGCGGATAGACCATCATCTCCGGCAGGAAGGCCTGACCGGCAAAGATGATTGAAGCCAGCACCATGGTCGCGCCGACGGTGACCACGTAGGTCTCGAAGAGATCCGCCGCCATTCCGGCGCAGTCGCCGACGTTGTCCCCTACGTTGTCTGCGATGACGCCCGGATTACGGGGGTCGTCCTCGGGAATGCCGGCCTCGACCTTACCGACCAGGTCGGCTCCCACGTCCGCACCTTTGGTGAAGATACCGCCGCCCAGACGGGCGAAGATCGAGATCAGGGAAGCGCCGAAGGCGAGTGCCACCAGAGCCGCGACGATTTCGCGATCGGCCAGATCGAAACCGATCAGCAGGAGCAAGCCGAAGTAAAGGCTGAGTCCCAGCAGCGCGAGCCCGGCAACCAGCATGCCGGTTACGGCGCCGGACTTGAAGGCGACGTCCAGGCCCCTCTCCAGACCGCCGGTCGCGGAGGCCTGGGTCGTACGCACGTTCGCACGCACCGAGACGTACATGCCAATGTAGCCGGCCAAACCCGACAGTACGGCCCCAATCAGGAAGCCGATCCCGACGATCGGACCGAGCAGAATGGACACCACTACGAAAATGACCGCTCCGACAATGGCGATCGTTCGATACTGTCGGTTGAGATAGGCTGCGGCACCTTCCTGGATCGCTGCGGCGATCTCCTGCATGCGCTCGCTACCGGCATCAGCCCCGAGTACCGACTTCGCCGTGATCGCGCCATAGCCCACAGCGACGAAGCCGCTGAGGATGACGAGAATCAGTGTCATTTCCATGAGACGCTTTCCCCCGGTTTGTTCGTACCGACTGCCCACGGCCGCCGCACCGTCGTTTGGACAGTCATAGCGGACACTCGAAAGTGGTGTGAGATAGCCCGTGCCTTACGCGCTCTGACAGAGCGCGCGGACCATGGCAGAACTGCCTGGTTATGGCAACAGAGTGAACGAAATCCGGCAGATACCGGAGACGCGGGCCAGAGGTCGGGGCGCCTAGGCCGCCAGTGTCCGACGCGACCCCAGCCAGGTCAGCGCGGCAAGCACGAGCAACAGCGGTACGACCACAGCGAGGTTGACCGCTTCCCACCCCAGGCCGTTGTAAAGCGCGCCGGAGGAGAAAGCGGTGACCGCAACGATCCCCCAAATCAGCGTGTCGTTCAGCGCCTGTACCTTGGCCTTTTCCTCCGGTCGGTAGGTCTCCGTCACGAGGCTTGTGCCGCCGACATAGAGGAAGTTCCAGCCCAGACCCAGCAGCACCAGTGCCACCGAGAAGTGCGTGACCTCGACACCGGAGAGGTTAACGCCCACGCAGACCAGGATGAGCAGCACGCCCAATCCCAGAATCGGCAAGTGACCGAACTTCTGAATCAAGTGACCGGTAAAGAAAGACGGCGCATACATACCCAATACGTGCAGCTGGATGACGAAGGCGGCCACTTCGAAGGGGTGGTCGCACCCGAGCATCGCCAAGGGCGTCGGCACCATGATGAGGTTCATGGCGCCATAGCCGACCATCGCCGCCAGCACGGCAACGATGAAGGTCGGTTGGCTGGCGATCTCGAGGAGAGAACGTCCGCTGTGCCCATCCGCCGAGCGGACGGGGGTCGGGATCCGGACCAGCCGCAGCAATGCGATCACGATAAGATTCAAGACCGCGATCGCCAGAAACCCGCCGAAGAAGAGCAGCGGCTCGAAAAGATCGCGCGTCTGCTTGGCCAGTTCTGGCCCCAACACCGCCGCGACCGTGCCACCTGCCATGACCAGGGAAATCGCTTTGGGCCGAAAGCTCGGGCTGGCCGTGTCGGCTGCGGCAAAGCGGTAGAAGCCACCGTGCACGGCCATGATGCCGAGGAAGGCCGAGCCGACACAGAGCAGTAGGAAACTGCCGTACCAGACGGCGGCCGCACAGATCAGACTGCCGAGGATGCCGCAGAACGCCCCGACGGTGAAGCCGGCCCTCCGGCCGAACCGCTCCATGAGGAAGGACGCCGGAACGGTGCTGCAGAGCACGGCCAGAAACTGCAAGGCGAGCGGCAGCGTGGCGAGCTTGGGGTCCGCCGCCAGCATGTAGCCGACAACCGCCGAGACGGTCATGAGCAGGCTGAGGCTGCTGATCGTCAAGGCCATGCAAACGGCCAGAACTGCCACGTTGCGGACAGTCGGATTGCGGTCGTGGGAATGGTCCGGCGACAGAGGCTGAACTGCGGATTCGGTCATCGCGGCGGGAGCTTAGCGACAGCCCCGCTCCAGCGCCACCCGCGCGGCGGCAGGTCAGCTCTGTAAATCGCGCTGCCCTTTGATCCGGTCGACCGCCTCGATCAGAACATCGGTAACCACCTCTGGACCCAGTTCGCGTTCGCCAACCAGAATCAGCCGCTGCTTGACCAACGGCAGCTCCACGCCGCCCTCCCGAACGAACTCCAGGGACATCAGCCCGTAGAGTTCCGTCGTGAAGGCATCGATCACGCGCGGCATGGCCTCACGCAGCTTGGCATCGCCGCTCGCCCCCGCGACCTCGACCGAGATGGCCAGGGTCAGATGGTGGGTGACGCGGTTGTTCTCGATGACCGGCACCACGAGGGGGGTCAGACTGACGTAGACTGGTTCGGGCTTCTGCGCCGCCTTTTCCGCCTGCATCTTCTCGTAGATCGGCATGCCGTAGGTCCAGGCGGCAAAGCCGCCGCCGCCCAAGAGGACGAGCAGAACCAGCAGGATCACTAGGCGTTTCATCTTCGAGCTCAAGACCGGAGGTTACGTCACGACGAGAGCCTGGACCGCGCGTGGTAAAGGCCGAGTAAAGCCGCCTGCAACCGAGGTAAGGCTGTGCCGCCGAGCAAACTCTAGAAGTGCGTCCAGCCGGAGCGCTCTATTTCCAGGGGACGGGCATCGCGATCCAACACGGCAACTCCAGGTGCCTCCACCGTCCGGCCGATACAGGTCACTGCGGTCCCCGTCTCACGGGCCAGCGCCGCCACCGCCCCGGCATCGTCCGGCGCAAGCGTGAAAGCGAGTTCATAGTCATCGCCGCCGGTCAGGAGCAGCGGCAGCAGATCCGGGTCGTCGCTGAGGACAGACTGCGCCGCCTCGGAAAGCGGAATCGCATCGGATCGGAGTTCGATACCTACGCCCGAGGTTTCCGCAACGTGGCCCAGATCGGCGACCAGACCGTCGGAAACGTCCAGACAGGCCGTCGCAAGCCCCAACAAGGCCGGTCCCAGGGCCGTTCGCGGTTCCGGGAGGCGGTATCGCTGCTCGAGAAAGGCCCGGTCCTGCTCCGGCAGACCGCTCAAGCGGCCCTGACGCACAAGCAAACCCAAGGCACCATCGCCGATCGTGCCGGTTACATAGACCGAGGCGCCCGGCTCAGCCGTCCCACGCTCCAGAACGCGCCCGCCGGGGACCCGGCCAAAGGCGGCGAGCGACAGGGTCACAGGGCCAGGCGTCGACACTGTATCGCCGCCCAACAGGGCGATGCCGAAGTGGGTCTGATCGGCGGCCAGGCCTGCCGCGAAGCCCTCGACCCAAGTCTCATCGCGCGCCTTGTCGAGCGCCATCGTGAGAAGATAGCTCTCCGGCTTGGCACCCATGGCCGCAAGATCCGAGAGGTTGGTCCTCAAGAGTTTGCGGGCCACCAGATCGGCGGGATCGTCCGGCAGAAAGTGGACGCCCTCGACCAGGGTGTCGATCGTCGTGACGAGGCCATACGCCCCGTCCGGCGCGATGACGGCGGCGTCGTTGTTCAGGCCGAAGGCGCCCGGCGCCTCTGCAGCCAGGGGCGCGAAGTGACGCGCGATCATGCCGAACTCGTCGCGCATGCCCATCAGATCAGCCGAAAGCTTCGGCTCTAACCGCACGAGCCAAACGGTCGAGCACGCCGTTGACCAGGGCAGGCTCGCGCCCGCCGAAGAAGTCGTGCGCCAACTCGACATACTCGCTGATCGCGACCTTTGGCGGGACGTCGGAGCGGTGCGCGAGCTCGTAGGCTCCGGCCCGAAGGATCACGCGCAGCAGCAGTTCGAGGCGTTCCAGCGTCCAGTCGGGGGCCAGCAAGGGCTCCAGCATCTCGTCGAGACCTGACTTCTGGGCCGACACCCCCTGAACCAGATCGCCGAACAGCTTTCGGTCCATATCGGCCAATCGCAATCCCTCGTCGATGTCCTCCTCCAGGCGGTGCTCCAGGAACTCCAGCAGCACGGCGTCGGCCCCGACGCCCACTACCTCGATCTGATAGAGCGCCTGGGCTGCGGCGAGCCGGGCGATCCTGCGCATGCGCGCCGGATCCTTTCGATTCGGGTCTTTCTGGGCCGGGTCTCTTCGGGAGGTGGAGGTCATAATGCTTGTCAGCGCGGAAAGAGCCGGAACTGACGCTTCAGATCCAGCATCTGCAGGCAGGCGCGCGTCGCCTCTCCGCCTTTGTTCTTCTGGTTGCGCGCCGCACGAGCCCAGGCCTGTTCCTTGTTCTCGACGGTCAGGATGCCGTAGCCCAGCGCCAAACTGTAGCGGATCGCCAAATCCTGCAGCCCCCGGGCGCTTTCGCCACAGACGTAGTCGTAGTGAGAGGTCTCGCCCCGGATCACGCAGCCAAGCGTGACATAGCCATCGAAACGGCGGCGCCCGGCAAAGAAGTCCATTGAGCGGATTGCGTATTGGACCGCAGCCGGGATCTCGAAAGCCCCCGGAACCTGGAAGCGCTCGTAAGTCGCTTCTTCCGCATCCAGCACCTCCAGCGCACCCGCCATCAGTTCGTCGGCGATATCCTCGTAGAAGCGCGCCTCCACAACCATGATATGTGGGCGGTCGTCCATAAAACCTACCTATTCCGTTGGGTCTACGTCTTATCGGGATCTCATGTCGGGAACTCGGGCGGACTCGCCGTCAAGCGGCTGTTGGCCGACCACGCGCAGCCCATAGCCCTCAAGCCCGACGATGGTGTGCTTCGTGTTGTGCAGCAGAACCATGTCCCGGACGCCCAGGTCCAAAAGGATCTGCGCGCCCTCCCCGTAGTCGCGCAATTGAACGGCTGGACGACCGCCCTCATCCAGGCGCGCCTTGATCTCCTCTTCCAGGCTGCTGGCATAGGGCTGGCGGATCAGGACCGCTACACCGCGTCCGCCCCTGCCGATCACCTCCAGCGCGGCCTCCAGTTCGCCGCCACGGCCCAGTGACCGGTCGCCGAGCAGATCGTCGAAGAGGTTCAGGGCATGAACGCGCACGGGGACCGGCGCGCCGTCATCGATCGGACCGCGCCACAGGGCCACGTGCTCGGCACCGGTCACCGTGTTGCGGTAGATGGTCATGGTGAAGTCTCCACCATGCCGGCTCGCGAAGTTGCGGTCCAATCGCCGCTCGACCAGTTTGTCGTTCTTGCGGCGGTAGGCGATCAGGTCGGCGATGGTCGCGATCTTGAGGCCATGGCGCTGGGCGAAGACGATCAGGTCGTCGCGCCGTGCCATTGTCCCGTCCTCGTTCATGATCTCGCAGATCACGCCCGCCGGGATCAGGCCGGCCAAGCGGGCCAGATCGACCGCAGCCTCGGTATGTCCGGTCCGCACCAGGACACCGCCGTCGCGCGCCATAAGAGGAAAGATGTGGCCCGGCGTCACGATATCGGCCGGAGCACTGTTGGGGTCGATCGCCACGGCAATCGTGCGCGCCCGGTCGGGCGCCGAGATTCCGGTGGTCACGCCGTCGCGCGCCTCGATCGAGACGGTAAAGGCCGTCTGATGCCGGGTCTCGTTGCTGCGCGCCATCATCGGCAGGCCGAGCTGTTCGATGCGCTCGCGCGTCATGGCCAGGCAGATCAAGCCGCGGCCGTACTTGGCCATGAAGTTGACCGCCTCCGGCGTGCACATTTGGGCGGGGATGACCAGATCGCCCTCGTTTTCCCGATCTTCGTCGTCGACCAGGACGAACATACGGCCGTTGCGCGCCTCCTCGATCACCGCCTCGATCGGTGAAACGAGCTCGCCGAACGTGACGCGCCAGGGGTCCTGCGGATTAGGAGTCGCCATGGGGTTTCGCTACAAATCCAGAAAACTGACGTCAGCCGCCGATCGAGCGGCTGGCCAGCAGCCGCGCAACGTAACGTGCGAACAGATCGATTTCCAGGTTGACCCGGTCGCCGCCGTGCAGACGGCCGAAGGTCGTGACCGAATAGGTGTGAGGGATCACGTTCACGCCGAAGGTCGCTTCGCCCCCCTCTCCGTCCTCGACTTCATTGACGGTCAGCGACACACCGTCCAGCGCAACCGAACCCTTGGAGGCGATGTAGGGCGCGATCTCCGGTCCGACGCCAATCCTGAAGCGCCAGGAATCCCCCTCTTGACGCACCGAGACGACCCGAGCCGTCGCATCGACGTGACCCGAAACCAGGTGCCCGCCCAGTTCCTCGCCCAGGGCAAGGGCGCGCTCGAAATTCACCCACGTGCCCTCCTGCCAGTCACCGAGCGTGGTCTTCGACAGGGTTTCCGCCGAGGCATCGACGGCGAACCACCCCTCCCCGCGCTCCACAACCGTTAGGCAGCAGCCGTTGCAGGAGATCGAGGCCCCGAGCGCAATCGTGGCCGTGTCGTAGCCGGTGTCGAAGGTGAAGCGCGTGTCGCCCCGCTGCTCGATGCTGCGGACGACGCCCAGATCCGTGACGATGCCAGTGAACATAGCGAAGGATTTAGAGGGCGATGGTCCTTGATGGAAGCAGTATCGCTTCCACCCCGGGGCGATCCCGCTCTAGCCGGCCCGCCGCCAGCATTCCAGAACGTCGGGACCGAGGCGCTCGAGCCGTTCGAAGGCGAAGGCAGGCGCATCGGCCAGCCGGTCGAGCCCGAACCCGGCGACCGCGGGCAAACCGTCGCCACCGATCAGGCGTCCCGCATGGAACCAGGCGAGCCGGTCAACGAGGTCGGCCCGCAGCAGCTCGGCAGCGACTTGGCTGCCGCCCTCGACCAGCAAACGCGTGATGCCGCGCTCGGCCAGCGAGGCCAGCACGTCCGGCAAGCTCAAGCGTTCCTCCGCATCGAGGCCGACCGTCAGAACCTCGACGCCAGCCCCCTCGAAAGCGCCCAAGCGGTCCTTCGGGCCGTCTTCGCGCGTGTAGAGCCAGGTCGGCTGCCGGTCCGCCTGCGCGATCAACTTATGGGTCAAAGGGGTCCGCAACCGGCCGTCGAGCAGCACCCGTACCGGATTGCAGGTGCCCAGCCCCGGCAATCTGACGTCAAGCTGCGGATCGTCGGCACTCGCCGTACCGGCCCCGACGAGGATCGCATCGTGATCGGCGCGCAACAGGTGCGCCCGTGCCCGTGCCGCCTCGCCGGTGATCCACTTGCTCTCGCCGACGTGCGTCGCGATGCGGCCATCCAGCGTTGTCGCGAGTTTCAGGGTGACCAGCGGCCGTTGCCGCATGAGTCTCAGGAAGAACCCCCAGTTGAGCCGGCGGGCTTCCTCGGCCATCAAGCCAACCTCGACGGACAGGCCGGCATCGCGAAGTTGCTGAAGGCCGCGTCCGGACACCCGCGGATCCGGGTCCTCGCAACTTACGACCGCACGTGCGACCCCGGCCTCGATCAGCGCCTTGGTACAGGGCGGCGTCTTGCCGAAGTGGGCGCAGGGTTCGAGGCTGACATAGGCCGTCGCCCCCTCAGCCGCCGCCCCGGCCCGCCGCAGCGCCTCGGTTTCCCCATGGGGACGCCCGCCGGGTTGGGTCCAGCCGCGACCGACCACGCGACCGTCACGGGCCAGCACGCAGCCGACCGAAGGGTTCGGTGCGACGCGGCCAAGACCGCGCTCGGCCAAACGAAGGGCCATCGCCATCAGCGCGCGATCCTGCCGAGTCCAGGATGGTAGCGTCGGATCGGCCGGCTGCATCAGCGGGTCTGGTCGTCAGCCTCGACGCCAAGCTTGCCGATGAAGTCCTCGAAGTCGCCGACCTCCCGGAAGTTCCGGTAGACGCTGGCAAAACGCACGTAGCCAATTGGATCCAGCGTGGCCAGCGCGTCCATCACCATCTCGCCGATCAGCTTCGAGGGAATTTCGCTTTCGCCGGAGGACTCGAGACGCCGGACGATGCCGTTGGCGACCCGCTCCACGCGCTCGCGGTCGACCTGCCGCTTCTGCAGGGCAATCAACATGGAGCGCAGGATTTTCTCGCGATCGAAAGGCTCCTTGCGGCTCTTGCTCTTCAGGACCGTCAACTCGCGGAGTTGCACCCGCTCGAAGGTCGTGAACCGGGCTCCGCAATTCGGGCACTGGCGGCGGCGGCGAATCGCGGCGTTGTCCTCGGTCGGCCGTGAATCCTTTACCTGGGTATCCTCGTTGCCGCAGAACGGGCAGCGCATTCCAAACTTCTCCCCCAACTATCCTCAAAACACCGCGAAAACGTGACGCCGAAGGCGATCAGACCGTTAGATCCGGATAGATCGGGAAGCGCTGGCAGAGTGCTTTCACCTCCGCCTTGACCTGGGTCTCCAGAGCCTGGTTGCCGTCTTCGCCGTCACGGCGCAGCCCATCGAGCACCTGATCGATGAACTGTCCGACCCGGATGAACTCGGCCGTGCCGAAGCCGCGCGTCGTGCCTGCCGGCGTGCCGAGCCGAACGCCGCTGGTCACCATCGGCTTCTCCGGATCGAAGGGCACGCCGTTCTTGTTGCAGGTGATGCCGGCCCGATCCAGGCTCTGCTCGGCCGCCTTGCCGGTCAGCGACTTCGGCCGCAGGTCGACCAGGCAGAGGTGATTGTCGGTGCCGCCGGTGACCATATCGAAACCGGCTTCCATCAGCGTTCCGGCCAAGGCCTTGGCGTTCTCCACGATCTGGCGGCTGTAGGCCTTGAAGTCGGGCTTCAGCGCCTCTCCGAAGGCCGCAGCCTTTCCGGCGATGGCGTGCATCAGCGGGCCGCCTTGCAGACCCGGGAAGGCAGCCGAATTGATCTTCTTGCCGAGATCGGGATCGTTCGAGAGCACCATGCCGCCCCGCGCACCGCGCAGGGTCTTGTGGGTCGTAGTGGTTACGACATGGGCGTGGGGCAACGGACTGGGGTGAACGCCACCCGCCACGAGCCCGGCGAAATGCGCCATATCGACCAGGAAGTACGCCCCAACCTCATCGGCGATCTGCCGAAAGCGCGCGAAGTCAATGACCCGCGGATAAGCCGATCCGCCGGCGATAATCATCTTCGGCTTGTGCTCGCGCGCCAGCCGTTCGACCTCGTCGAAATCGATCAGGCCGTCGTCCTTCCGCACGCCGTACTGAATGGCCTCGAACCACTTGCCGGAGAGGTTCGGCGCGGCACCGTGGGTCAGATGGCCGCCCGCCGAGAGTGACATGCCCAGGATCGTGTCTCCCGGCTTCAGCAAGGCCAGCATGACGGTCTGATTGGCCTGGGCGCCGGAATGCGGCTGGACGTTGGCAAAGCTGCAGTCGAACAGCTTCTTGGCCCGCTCGATCGCCAGGCTCTCGACCACGTCCACATGCTCGCAACCGCCGTAGTAGCGGCGGCCCGGGTAGCCTTCGGCATACTTGTTGGTGAGCACCGACCCTTGGGCTTCGAGCACCGCGCGAGAGACGATGTTCTCGCTTGCGATCAGCTCGATCTGGTTCTGCTGACGCCTCAACTCGTCGCGCACGGCGGCCGCCAGATCGGGATCGCTTTCCCGCAGCGACGCGGAGAAAAACGCACCCTGTGTGTTATCAAGATTTTGCGCGGCGTCGGAGGGGCTCATGGCGATCACCTTCTGTGGGAAACGTGGGTCTTCAGCAAACGTGGATCTGGGGCTCTCGGTTTGACAGCGCCTCGCGCCGTCATGGCAGGCGTTCGGTGCTAGGGCGCGCCGAGTTTCTCGACACGCCGGACGTGGCGTCCGCCCTCGAAAGGCGTGTCGAGAAAGGCGTGGAGTATATCCTTGGCCGTCTCCAGTCCGGTGATGCGGGCACCGATCGCCAGGACATTGGCGTCGTTGTGCTGCCGCGCCAAACGCGCCGTGGTGCCGTCGTGACAGAGCGCCGCACGGACCGCTGGGTTGCGGTTGGCCGCAATGGAGATGCCGATGCCCGTGCCGCACACGATCACGCCGCGCATCGCCCGGCTGGACGCCAGAGCCTCGGCCATCGCCTTGCCATAGTCCGGATAGTCCACCGACTCAGGGCCGTTCGTGCCCAGATCGAGCGTCCGGTAGCCAAGCGAGGCGAGTTCGTCCGCCAGGACTTGCTTCAATTCGTAGCCGGCGTGATCCGCAGCCAGCGCAACCGTCTTATCGGCCATAACTCTCTGTCGTTCAGACTGCGGACTCCGCTGTATCCGGCAGGTCCAATCGTGAAAAGGATCGTGGAGATGCACACAGCAGCAATCCGGCCCAGTGTTCTGACCCAGCCTTCCGGCGCGCAGTTCAACGCTACCATATGTCGGTTCGTCGTCAAAGCTCACCACAAGGCCTGGGCCTCAAAATCCGCCACGAGGCTCCCTTCTCCCGATTTGACGCGGGGCAGCGGTACCCAGCCTCTCGATCGCTCGGCAAGCTTTATTCGTTAGCTTTTTCTTAAGATGAAACCATAGCTATTTACTAATAAAACCGCGCGTATTTTCACTTTTCACTGCCGAAACTTTCGCGTAATGTGTCAATGATTAGGGGGCTTAGTCCGGGCGGGAAAGAATGAGCGAAGAAACACGTGAAGATGTAAGCGAAGCCGAAGTGCTGAGAATGACCGCTTCAGTGGTCTCTGCTTACGTTCGCAACAACTCCTTGCCGACCCAAGACGTTACCGGGCTGATCGGGTCGGTTCATCGTGCCTTGACGGATCTCAGCAGTTCGGCGTCCGAACCCGAGGTCCCGACACCTGCGGTGCCGGTCAACAAGTCGATCCAGCCGGACCATCTGGTCTGCCTGGAAGACGGTCGAAAGCTGAAAATGTTGAAGCGTCACTTGCGCACGACCTATGGCATGTCGCCCGAGGACTATCGTGCCAAATGGGGGCTGGCGGCCGATTACCCGATGGTGGCGCCGAACTACGCCAAACAGCGCTCGGCCTTCGCCAAGCAGATCGGCCTGGGCACCAAGGGCGGACGCCGCAAGAAGCGCAAGTAGCCCGGTTCTACCGGCGCTCCAAGCTCTCACAGGTTCCGAATGAAGCGCGCGATCGCGCAGGCCGTCGCGGCCGCGCCGGGGCTTTCGGCTCGCTCGTCGCCTGCGGCACCTTGCAGATCCGGGGCAGATCCGGGCCTGTACAGATCCGGGGCAACCCTGGATATAGTACGGCGGTCGCAGACTCCGGCGGAGGCTGTAGCCGACCTGATCGGCGCCTCGCCGAGCGAGGCTGCGCGCGATCAAGACAGACAAACACTCAGGGAGATGAAACATGACGTTTAGCAAGTCGTCGCTAGCCGCCGCAGGCCTGGCGGGCGTGCTGCTCGCCGCCGGCCCGGCGGCCGCAGAGGACATCAAGATCGGCGCGTTGATGCCGATGACCGGCGACCTGCAGGCCTTCGGTCCCTCGTCGATGTCCGGTATCGAACTGGCACTGAAGGAGATCAATGCACAGGGCGGACTGCTCGACGACCGCAGGCTGACCGTGGTCGTCGGCGACACTCAGACCGCCGCTCAAACGGCCGTCGACGCCGCGCAGAAGCTCGTCAACGTCGATAGCGTTGTCGCCATCGTCGGCGCGCTGTCCTCCGGCAACTCCGGCCCGGTCGCCACCTCCGTCACCGGACCGGCCGGCATCCCGCAGGTCTCCAGCGCCTCGACGGCACCGGTGCTGAGCGACATCGACGACAACGACTTCTTCTTCCGCACCGTTCCGGCCGACAGCCTTCAGGGCGTGGTTCTGGCTCAGGTGGCCAAGGCGGAAGGCTTCGAGAACGTCTCGGTCCTCTACATCAACAACGACTACGGCGAAGGCCTCGCAACCGCCTTCACCGGGGCGTTCGAGGCCGACGGCGGCACGATCGCCGCCAACCTGGCCTATGAGCCGGGCAACGCCTCCTACCGCGGCGAACTGCAGAATGCGGCGGGCGACGGCGCCGAGGCCCTGGTGCTGATCGGCTATCCGGAGAACGGCGTGGCCATCCTCCGTCAATCCCTGGAGGGCGGTTTCTTCGATTCCTTCATCTTCACCGACGGCATGAAGACGCCGGACGTCATCTCGGCGATCGGCGCGGATTTCATGGACGGCTCGATCGGAACCGCGCCCCAGGCCGTCGCCGACAGTCCGGCCGCCACCACCTTCCGCAGCGCCTACGAGGCCGAGTACGGCGAGCTGCCGCCAAAGCCCTTCATCGACACGGCCTACGACGCGGCCTTCGTCCTTGCCCTGGCCATCGAGAAGGCCGGTTCGACGGACGGTGCGGCGATCCGCGACGCTCTGCGGGAGGTTTCTAGCGCACCCGGCATCGAGATCCTGCCGGGCGAGTGGGAAAAGGCCAAGGCGGCCATCGCAGCCGGAGACGACATCGACTACGTCGGCGCCGGCGGTGCCCAGGACTTCGATGCCAAGGGCGATGTACCGGGAACCTTCGCGTTCTGGGCCATCGAAGGCGGCGAGATCGTCACCCGCGAGGTGCTCGCTCCGGAGATGTGAGACAGCCCACTGCGGCCTGTCCTATCCGGCCGCCTTGTCTTGAGGCGACGCCACAAGCAGACCAACGCCCGCGGTGCCTTCGCCGCGGGCGTTGTGCCGCCGGCCTTCAGTAGATGCCGCGCCAAGCGGCCCACCAAAGCCGCAACACGCGATTGGGCAGATCCAGTTGAACCCGGGGATCGAAGGGGTCGAACGCGGCCCGCTCCAGCACCGTCAGATAGCCGTCGGCCAGACGGGCCGGCAAGAGGGCCGGCAGGGCTTGCCGTGGAACATCGCCGCGTCGCCGACGGGCTTCCACGAGGTGTTCGCGTGCGCGTTTCGCCAAACGCATCACCACACCCGACAAGGCATCAGAGCCCTGCAGCTCGAACAGCTCGGCGGTGCTTACGCCCGTGACGGCGAGATGGTCTTCCGGCAGGTAAAGCCGTTTCTGGCGCGCGTGAAACGGAACCGCCCGCAGGAGACCGGTCAGCGCCCAGGCGATCCCGACATGCCGCGCGGCCGCTTCGGCCGCCTCGCCTCCGCAGCCGAGAATGGCAAGCGCCAGAGACTGAAGGGTCCCGCTGGTCTCCGCAGCGTAGCGCTCCAGGGCGGCGAGATCGCCAGGTGCGGCTGGATCGAGGTCCGCTTCGCGGGCGAGCAAAAGACGCTCGAAGGTCGCCGGCTCCAGACCATGCTCGCGAATGGCCGCAGCCAGAGGCGCGGCCACCTGATGTTGGCGAACCGTGCCGCCCTGGTGGACTTCATCGAGCGCTTCCCGCCACCACTGCAGACGGATCTGCCCGAGCGTGGGTTCGCTGACCAGCTCGGCCGTCTTGGCAACCTCAAGGTTGAAGGCGTAGAGAGCGAAAAGAGCTTCGCGCCGCTCGGCGGGCGCGAAGAGGCAGACCAGAAAACGGTCCCGATCCCGCGCGCGCAGTTCTTGCGCGCAGTAGGAAAGACTATCACTGCGCATGACAGCGCCCGAAAGTCGCAATGGACATGGAACCCCATAGAATTCAAATGGTTCACATAGGCGTACCTTCGCCTATGTAAGCGGAGGCGGTCGCGGTAAAACATGCGAACGACTCAAGGCGCAGCCGCGCTCCCGGATTTTCCATCCCGGACAATATGATCGAGGTAAGGAGAGACGTCATGCCGTTCCAACTGCCCGAGTTGCCCTACGCCAAGGATGCGCTCGAGCCCCACTATTCCGCGAAGACTCTCGAGTTCCACCACGGCAAGCATCACAACGCCTACGTGACCAAGACCAATGAGCTAGTCGCCGGCACGGAACTGGACGGCAAGTCCGTCGAAGAGGTGATCGCCGCGGCCAAGGCCAAGGGCGACAAGACCCTGTTCAACCAGTCCGCCCAGATCTGGAATCACACCTTCTTCTGGCACGGCATGAAGCCGGGCGGCGGCGGCGCGCCCAGCGGCGCGGTCGGCGACGCCATCGACAAGGCGTTCGGCAGCTATGCCGATTTCGTCAGCGCGTTCAAAGCCAAGGCGGCCGGTAACTTCGGCTCGGGCTGGACCTGGCTGGTCAAGACCGGTGACGGTCTGGAGATCGTCAATACCGACGATGCCGATACGCCCTTGGCGCACGACGGCATGACCCCGCTGCTGACGGTCGACGTCTGGGAGCACGCCTACTACCTGGACTACCAGAACCGCCGTCCCGACTACGTCCAGTCCTTCTTCGACAACCTGGTCAACTGGGACTTCGCGAACGACAATCTCTCCAAGGGTTGAGCCGGCCCCCAAGCCGCGAACCGACCGAGAGAGGGCCCGTCGCAGGAGGGACGCGGATTTGCGTTCGCCTGCGACCGGCTGCCCTCTCGCGTCATGAGACAGCGGGCTCTGCACTGAGAGGCCGGCTCTGACCGAGCCGGCCTTTTCCTTTGCTTGATTCGCGTCAAAGTTCCCGCCGTCGCCGTTCCTTACCGTAGAGGCGGCATCGAGGGAGCAGCGCCATGTCTGGAAAGATTCTCGTCGTCGACGGTCATCCGGACGCTAATCGCGACCACTTGATCCATGCGCTCGCCGATGCCTACGCAGAGGGCGCCACGTCTGCGGGCCGGGAGATCCGGTGTCTGCGCGTGGCCGAGCTCGACTTCCCTTTGCTGCGACGCAGTGCCGACTTCGAGGACAGCGCCGCTCCGCCGGACATCGCGGCGGCACAGCAGGACATCCTCTGGGCCGAGCACTTGGTGATCTTCTACCCGCTGTGGCTGGGAACCCTGCCGGCTCTGCTGAAGGGCTTCTTCGAGCAAACCATCCGGCCCGGTTTCGGCTTCGATCCTGCCAAAGGGCCCTTCGGTCCGAAGCTGAAAGGCCGCTCCGCCCGCGTCGTCGTGACCATGGGCATGCCGGCACTTTTCTATCGACTGTTCTACCGTGCCCACGGCCTGAAGAGCCTGGAGCGCAACATTCTGAAGCTCTGCGGTTTCGGACCGATCCGTGAAACGCTCTTCGGATCGGTGGAGGCGGCCTCCGCGAAGACGCGCAAAGACTGGCTGGCGAAGTTGGAGCGGCTGGGACGCGAGGGCCGCTAAACTGCAATCAGTGCGGCCGCAACCCGGCGGCCCTCGGTCTGCAGCAGATTGAAGGTCCGGGCCGCCGCCCCGGTTCCCATGCACTCGGGGACCGGCCCCCTCTCCCGGATCGCGCTCCGCAAGGCCTTGGGCAGCAAGCCCGACTTGGCGCCGGTCCCGATCAGCAGGACCTCGTAGGGCGGCGTCTTCTCCAGGATGAAGGCCAGGCTCTCCAGGGTGACCTCCTCCTGCGACGCGACCGCCCAGGGTGCGGTCTCGTTCATCGTCACCAGGATCGCACCCTCGTGAAGCTGCCCCGCGACCGTGAAGCGGCCGGGTCCGTATCCTTCCACGAGGTACCGGTCATCCGGCAGCGAGGGCGTGACGTCGGCGTCTTTCATGGGTCTCAGGTCGACGGCTTCGCGCCGCTTTCGATCACGCCTTTCGGCGTCTGCTCGGCCTCGCCCTCGTCGCCTCCGGTGAGTTGCTCCCGGCGCAGTCCCATGTAGAGCAGCAGAGGGACCGCCAAGGCGACGGAGGAATAGGTGCCGATTATCACCCCCCAGATCAGGCCCAGGGTGAAGCCGCGAATCACCTCGCCCCCGAAAACCGACAGGGCAATCAGGGCCAGGAGAGTGGTCACGGAGGTCAGCAGCGTGCGCGTCAGCGTCTTGTTGATCGCGAGATTGAGCAGCTCCGGCATCGGCATCTTCTTGTATTTTCGAAGCTTTTCACGCACGCGGTCGAACACGACGACGGTGTCGTTGATCGAATAGCCGGCGATGGTCAGGACCGCCGCCAGGGTCGCGAGATTGAACTCGATCTGGGTGATCGCGAAGAAGCCGATCGTCGCGATCACATCGTGCGCGAGGGCGACCAGGGCCGCGAGGCCGAACTGCCATTCAAACCGCAGCCAGATGTAGATGCCGATGGCACCCAGCGCGAGCACCGTCGCCAGAATGCCGGCCTGCCGAAGCTCCGCCCCGACCTTCGGACCCACGAACTCGGTTCGGCGATACTCGACTACCTGCTCGCCCAGTGTCTGCTGAACCCGTTCGATGGCGGCCCGCTGATCGGCGTCGCCGCCCTCCTGCCGGCTGATGTTGAGCAACAGGACCGTCGGCTCGCCGAACTCCTGCAGCGTGATCTCACCGAGATCCAGATCGCCCAGCTCCGCGCGCAACTGCCCCAGATCGGCCGGCTCGCGGGTTTCCACCTCCATCAGGATACCGCCCCGGAAGTCGACACCGAAGTTCAGACCCTGGGCGAAGAAGGTTCCGATCGACCCCAGCGCAAGGAAGATCGAAAAGACCAGGAACAGGGTCCGCTTGCTGAGAAAGTCGATCTTCGGATCGATCGGAAGCAGTCGGATCAAGGCCATGACGGGTGTCCTACTCGAAAGCGCTCAGATCGGCAGAGCCTTGGCGGGCGTGCGCCGACGGCGCAACCAGGTGACCACCAGCAGACGGGTGACCATGATGGAGGTGAACATCGACGTGAGGATGCCGATCGCCAGGGTGACGGCGAAGCCCCGGATCGGCCCCGAGCCGAACTGGAACAGCAGCAAGGCGGCGATCAAGGTCGTCAGGTTGGAGTCGATGATCGTAGTGATGGCGCGCTTGTAGCCCGCGTCGATGGCGGACACCGGTCCGCGGCCGAGACGCGCCTCTTCGCGTATGCGCTCGAAAATCAGCACGTTGGCGTCGACCGCCATACCGATGGTCAACACGATTCCGGCAATGCCCGGCAGGGTCAGGGTCGCCTGGAGTCCCGACAGCGCGGCGGCCAGCAGAATCAGGTTGATGATCAAAGCGACGTTGGCAAAGAGCCCGAAGAGGCCGTAGGCCGAGCCCATGAAGACGATCACCAGCAACAAGCCAAGGACGGCCGCGAACTCGCCGGCGCGGATCGAATCGGCACCGAGCCCGGGACCGACCGACCGTTGCTCGATCACCGTCAGCGGTGCCGGCAAGGCGCCGGCCCGCAGCAACAGTGCGAGATCCTGCGCCTCCTGAACCGTGAAACTGCCACTGATGACACCGCTCCCCCCCAGGATCGGCTCGCGAATCACCGGAGCGGAAATCACCGCCTCGTCGAGGACGATGGCAAAGGGACGCCCGACGTTCTCCTGGGTGACCTGCCCGAATCGCTGAGCACCGGTCGAGTCGAAGCGGAAGCTGACCACCGGTTCGCCGTCCTGAAAGGTCGGCTGCGCGTCGGTCAGGTTCTCGCCCGAGACCAGGATGCGTTTGCGGACCACGATCTGCGAGGCCCCCATGCCGTCGTCTTCCATCGGCAGCAGTTCGGAGCCGGGCGGCACCGGGTCGAGACCGGGCTGAACGTCGCCGTTGACCATGCGGAAACTCAGCTGGGCGGTCTGCCCCAGAAGGTCGATCAGGCGCTCCGGGTTCTCGACGCCGGGCACCTGCACCAGGATGCGCTCCTCCCCTTGGCGCTGAATCGCGGGTTCGCGGGTTCCCAGCTCATCGATCCGGCGCCGGACGATCTCGATCGACTGCTGAAGAACGGTGATCTGGCGCTCCTGCTTGACCTGTGCGGTCAGCTCGATCTCGCCCTCGCCGCTGCTATCGCTGATTCGCAGCAGCGCGTCGCCCGTGAAGACCAGCAGCGCTTCGCGCGCCGCGTCCGCCTGGGCGGGGTCCCGCAGGGTAAAGAAAACGCTGTCGCCCTCGCTGCGGAGCCCGGTATAGCCGATCCGTTCCTGCCTCAACTCGCTGCGGACCGTGTCGACCAGGTTGTCGAGCTCCTCCTCGAACACCGTCTCCATGTCGACCTCGAGCAGGAGCGACGACCCGCCCTGAAGATCGAGGCCAAGGCTGATCTGCTGATTCGGAAGCCAGGACGGCAGGCTTTCGGAGATCTGGCGCGGCAGCAGGTTCGGCGACGCGAAAGCGAAACCGAGCAGCACGACGGCTAGAACGGCCAAGACCTGCCAGCGGGAAAACTGGACCATGGGATTTCCAGACCTTCTTCAACGCCAAACACGGCAAGGGCGGCCGTGTCGGGATCGACCAATCGGACGAGTGGCCGCTTTAGCGGCGCTTGCCATCCGCTGAGGAGCCGGGCTCCGTCGAGGGCTCGTCTTCGTCGTCCTGCCACTCGTCGTCCTCGGGCTCTTCGGCCTCGTCCTTCTTGCGGCCACGCGTCCGGCTCGGCTGGCCCTTGCCGACCACTTCCTGAACCGTCCCGCGCAGCATGCGCACCTTCACGCCATCCGCGATCTCCAGATCCAGTTCGGTGTCGGAGATGATGCGTGCGACCGTGCCGTAGATGCCGCCCGCCGTTACCACCCGGTCGCCGCGCCGCAGGGCCTGCACCATCGCCCTGTGCTCTTTCTGCCGCTTCTGCTGAGGCCGGATCAGCAGGAAATAGAAAACCACGAAAATCAGGATCAGCGGCAGGAACGTCAGCAGAGCGCTGCCACCGTCCGCGCCGCCGGCTGCCTGAGCAAATGCGGGAGAAATCAGCATCAAGTCCTCATCTTGTTAGCACCACGGTCGGCCTGTCGCCGCACAGGGTATCGCACCGGATATCGCACTGGGGCGTCGCGTTCAGCTTCACCGGGTCGGAAAAGATCGCCGGACTATAGCCGCGCGCCCAGGTTTTGCAACGTTCACCGGCGAAATCCAAGAGGATGCAACCGGCCCGGTCCAATTGACCTGGACAGGCCCGGGGGACTAGCTTCCCCGCCGCTCGCAGCCCGTGTTTCCCGCCTTACCTGGGGTTTTCCATGCCGCTATCCAATGCCGAAGAGCTTTCCCCCCTTCTGACGCGCATCGCCGAGGCCTTGGAGCGTCTCTCGCCTCCCGCAGCGGTCGAGACCGACGAGGTGGCAGCCGACGGCTACGTCTGGGACGCGGAGGCCGGGCGCCCGCTGCCGGTTCCCAAGATCAACCGAGTCGCCTTCCCGTTGCTCGTGGGGATCGATCAACAGTCCAGGCTGCTCCTGCAGAATACCGAGCGCTTCGCACGCGGTCTGCCAGCGAACAATGCCCTGCTGTGGGGCGCGCGCGGCATGGGGAAGTCCTCACTGGTCAAGGCGGCCCACGCTCAGGTCAATGCCTCGCTGCAGCCCGATCCGACGCTGGCTCTGGTCGAGATCCATCGGGAAGACATCCCCACCCTGCCCCGTCTGCTGCAGTTGCTGCGCGGTCAGGCGCCACGCCGGTTTCTGCTGTTCTGCGACGACCTCTCCTTCGACCAGGAAGACGCCAGCTACAAATCCTTGAAGGCGGTTCTGGAGGGCGGCATCGAGGGACGGCCGAGCAACGTGCTGTTCTACGCCACCTCGAACCGCCGGCATCTGATGGCACGCGACATGATCGACAACGAGCGCTCGACCGCCATCAATCCCGGCGAGGCGGTCGAGGAGAAGGTCAGCCTCTCCGACCGCTTCGGGCTCTGGCTCGGGTTCCACAACTGCGATCAGCAGACCTTCTTGGCGATGGTCGAGGGCTACGCCGCCCATTTCGGTCTCGAGGTCGAACCCGCGCAGCTTCGCGCGGAAGCCAAGGAGTGGTCCGTCACCCGCGGCTCCCGCTCCGGCCGGGTCGCCTGGCAGTTCATCCAGGATCTCGCCGGGCGCCTCGACCGTCCGATCGAGCTCTGAGGCCCCCGCTAATGCGCGAGCCTCAGGAGAGCACCCCCTCGATCGCGGGGGTATCGCCGTCTTCCGGCCGCCAGTCGGCGCCAAACAGCGTGGCGCGCAGGCTTGCCCAGGCTTCGCGATCCGGCGCCGAAAGCAGACCGATGCCCTGGCCGTCCTGCGGCCGGTAGGGACGTTTGTCGAGCAAGGAGGAGATCCCGCCGGCTTCCTGGTGCAGCAAGACACCGGCAAGGTGATCCCAGGGCTTGGTGCTGCTGAAGAGCGTGAAATGGGTCTCGCCGGCGGCCAGCCGCATGTACTCCTGCCCCGAACAGCGCAGACTGCGGACCTGCCGGACCTTGCTCCGGTTCCGGTCAACCTTGGCCTTGAGGGTCGAGCGGCCTCGAAACCCGGCATGCAGTGTGCCGCTGAGATCGGCCGGCCGGTCGGCCGGTGCCACCTGCAGACGCGTTCCAGCCAGCCAGGCTCCGCCGCCGCGCTCCGCCGTCGCGGTTACGTTCCGCACGGGATCGTGAATCCAGCCGGCAAGCGTCTCCTCGCCCCGGCAAAGCGCAACGATGACGGCAAAAGCCGGATCTCCGTGCGCGAAGTTGAAGGTACCGTCGACGGGATCGACCACCCAGACCGGCGCATCGCGCTCCGCGAGAGCTTCCATGGAGAGCTCGCCGCGCGCCACCATCTCCTCGCCGAGCACCCAGGAGCCCGGCAACAGTCCGGGCAGCCGTTCGGCCAAAGCCGCTTCAGCTTCCTCGTCGGCCACCGTCACGAAGTCGTTGACGCCCTTGTCACGCACCTCGTGGGCCGCGAGCGCGCGGAAGCGCGGCAGCACCACCTCGGCGGCGACCTCGGCAATCGCCTCTTCAACCTTGTTCGGATCGATCTGCATCGTGCCTCAAGAATAGGGCCAAGGCGGAACCGCACAAGAAGCCGGTCTGGCAAGACGCCAAGCCTGAAATTCAGGCCATAAGGAAAAGGGCCGCGAGACATATGTCTCGCGGC